TCCGTTTTATTTTGGACAGAAGTCCTTTCGATTTCGGCATATCGACTCGACGAAGCCGTGATAGTAGACTGTTGCTGCCATTGCACAGGATTTTCCCTATAAGTGAAGCGAACATGCCCGTGTCCCTCCATTGGAACTCGATGCGTTCGAAACCCAGTGGAGAAAAAGCCGCGTTTGACGGTTCGTGAATAGACGCAGCAAGATAGCGGCAAGGTCAGTACGCTAAAGCATGACACACCTTTGCCATATATCCGGATATGGGATCGCTACCAAACAGAAATGAGTCTTGTCTCTGATGTTCCGGGAGTTCTTAAAGGAACATCATGATTTAGCTATTCTTCGAGGTCAAAGGAGAAAGCGTACTAACACCTAGAATGGATTTACATCCAAATTTTTCAGACCACCCAGGAGTGATTGAAGGGCTGAAATGAAAACTGGTTTATCTGCAAAAAGATTCGAAAACAGAAAAACAGGTCCTTGTACGAAGACCACTTTTCCCTTCCTGTAACCCTTACTTGGCCAAGGGGTCGTTTTGATCCACAACTCATGGTTACGTTGTTTATGTGCACTAAATGATTAATAAAAATTCAGAAAAAAACTTATAATGACCATTTGGAACCTATTGAACATATCCTGGAAGGATATTGGCATTTTGAAAAATTCAACCTATTTTAGTGATCATTATACATTATGTAATATGCGTCCCCTCTCTAAGGACCACTCGCTGGGTGTGTGTAGGTAGGTAGGTATGTTGGTATGCATATATTGATGGATGGAAGGTGTATCTATCCGTTTGATGCTATTAGAACCGGCAACTCAAACAAAACCGGAAAATATGCTTTTTTCGTTGCGGGTTAAAACGATCCTCCTTGACCATGTAAGGAAAACCTCTTTTGTTTTCCCAAGCAGACCAGTTTTCGGTGCAAGAAGTCTTGAAAGGCTGAAAATTCTGTCCAATGATATCGATGTCGGCTACAGCATGTGATACATGGATGACGCACTCTCCAGAAACCAACTCATGGGAACATTCGCTTCTTTCATGCATTCTCTGCCTACCATGCTCAGTCACCAGAAACGGCCCCGGTGCCGCCTAATTTGATATGGCTCGTGCCGAATATCGTTGGTAAAACCTATAAGAACCTATATTCCCGCCGCGCAGGATGTCAGGGCATATTTCTCCCAGTGCCACAAATAAATTTGAGTTTTGGGCGAGTTTGCCCACACTTGCTGCCGGCCTAACATCATCAGTGCCACAGAGGATGAGAGAATTTTTGGGGCTGCCAAGGCCGGTGGTGTCATGGGGGGAGGGAGGCAAGCGCTAGCCCCCTGAACTCCTCCAGCCGTGCCGCTGACTTTTCCCGATTACTTACCATTCCTCAACCCACGTTAATCCAATCTTCTCGTTTTCCTCCTCTTCCATTCCTCATTTTACTTTTACACTCCGCTTTGCCGAACCGAACGGTCGCTATGTTTCCCGGAAACCTGGTTACAGAACTTTTTCAACCCCTTGACCTGTAAGCTGGGCAAAAAACACTGTCCTATTGTGAGCTGACATTTTGTAATAATTCGCACGGCATAGAAAAGTCACCAAAACTCACACGATAGGTGAGAGGCAGTCTCTTCACTCACCCAACTACAGTTTCGCTGCACCATCGGTTGGTATAGGAAGTTAGAGTACCATCCTATACAGAGCAGTCGGGTAAGGTTATTCAACCTGTCATCATGCTAAATAACAGAAAGATCGACCATTGTTGCTTGCATATGAACGATACATTAATATACTTTCCTCTAAAATCACATCATTACATTTCCACTCAGTAATTATTTGAAGAAAGTCAGTCTCCTCGTGTCCATTAAGAAATTCTGCGCGAAGTCTCGCTGTCTCCTGTAAGTTACAGTGGCTCTATTACATTTACAAAGACAAACGTATACCTTTACATACCTTCAAGGTACCGGATGTCTGTTATATCATTAACCCTTTGCGGTCCTGTGTCCCACTGGGTGGGCCATTTCAAAATTCCAGTTTGAATTTGAATAGCCGAATTTGAGTACCAATGAGAGTGATTGGGAAGTCTATGAAGTTTATTTGACAGAAGTATGATCAACTTTTTAATTTTATTTCATTGTATTCAATTTGAGTAGTATTACAATAAAATGTGCAAATTTTACAGTATATGCATGAAAAGTAATTGGACCTGGTGGGCATGCTTGTGGAAAAAAATGACCGCAAAGGGCTTAAGGAGACAAATACATTTTTGTCCACAGAGAGTCCTTTTTCATTTCAGTACGACTCCGTCGGTCACTAACCCTCGAAGTGAAGAAACGGGGCTGATAAGATCATCCCTTCATTCTGGACGCTCATTTCACGAATGAAATCCCTCTTCCCGTTGTAGCAAAACTTCCCTCCACCACCCACATATTTCATACCCCCTACTTCGCCTGATATGTCCTCGCCAATTTCCCCCATCCGCTTACCCAATACCTCCACTCAACTCTTTTTTACTTGCAATTTTTTGCGAGATTACTTGCAAGAAATTAGAGGAAATGAGGCATGTGCATAACAAAAGGAGTTTTCTTACTGCTCGTCTCCCTCCTTCAGCCTGCAAGATGCGTTCATGCAGGGTGTAAAAAGGAGGGATCATAGGAGTTAGACCTCCCTCCCCCCCAACCCCTGAAACGCTGCCAATGGAGGGGAGGAAAATCTTCAGCATGTGCCCAAACTCCCTCCTTGACTCCTCGGAAGAAAACTCCTTTTCTAAGTAGCGAAACTAATGAGTACAGTAACTACATGATATGCACTAGGATCGAGTGAAACTTGATGACCCCTGAGGGTGAAGACATGAAAGCATCAATGTAACGGAAATTATTTTTATGAACATCAGCATCGGCAGAATAGATACCCCTTTGATGAGGCCTTATGTACTTTCAATGATCAGGCAAAATATGAATTAAAAACACCAGTCTTCCAGAGACCTCTGAACTGCATGCACGCACAATATGAAAAAACACAAAGGGGGAAAAACCCTGAAAATTCTTTTTAAAAAAGCAGTTGAGGGGTGCGAGGGAGAGTAGGAAATAATCCTGGAGGGAAGTTGTCCTAGTCCCACACAGATGGTATGGATCCTATGTTGTGACAAAGGATTTCTGGAAGACCTTAGAAGGAATAGCACCAACAGAGAAGTTTCCCACAGAAATGTGAGAATCTGTTTTTTTTTTAATATTATTTTATTATTATTATTTTATTTTATAACTACAGGGTGTCCCACTTATCGCGGACGATTTTAATCACGTATAAAATTATTCCTACTTGAACAAACTAAACTAAATTTTCACAACATTTAGACAACTGTTTAGCATTTATTGTGACGAAGTTTCAGCGAAATTAAATGCACCAATTACAAGCTATGAACTTCAGCGTAGCCCCCATCGATTTCAGCCCTTTTCCCAATCATTTGTGGTATTCAAGCAGCGTTTTCTCGCGCATTTCAGCAGTAATGTCTACTAACGCAGCGGTAATTCGTTCCTTCAGTTCGGGAATTTCCCTCAGTTTGGTCGCGTAGTCTTTCCACTTGACAAAGCCCCACATGAAGAAATCGCACGGCGTTAAGTCAGGAGAATTGGCCGGCCAGCGCATAGCCGGCGATCCGCGACCCATCCTTCGATCCGGAAACTTTTTTCAGTCAGGCACGAACTTCTTTGCCAAAATGCGGTGGGGCGGGCCGGACTTGACGCTGTGGGACTTCTTCATGTAGGGCTTTGTCAAGTCGAAAGTCTACTCGACCAAACCGAGGGAAATTACCGCTGCGTTTGTAGACATTACCATTGAAATGCGCGAGAAAACGCTGTTTGAATACCGCGAACGATTGGGGAAAGTGCTTGAAATCGATGGGGGCCACGTTGAAGTTCATAGCTCGTAATTGGTGTATTTGATTTGGCTGAGACTTTGTCACAACAAATGCTAAACAGTTGTCTAAATGTTGTGAGAATTTTGTTTAGTTTGCTCCAATAGGAATAATTTTATACGCGATTAAAATCGTCCGCGATAAGTGGGACACCTGGTTATTTCAAGACTGCAGGTGGTATATGGCTTGGGTCAAGTGACAATAGTGTTTTGGGACCATAAATGACAAAAGACTTGATCCTGCCAAACAGTGAGAAGAGTACCCTCATAAAGTATGGGTAGATGTCATAGGTAGAAGATGTGAACATAACAGGTGTTCAAGTTTCCCCACTCTCTTAGATAGAGATGCAACACTATTTAAATGTTAATCAAGTACCAATAATTATCATCATGACTGATACCAAGTTTGATAGCAGATATTCTGAGGGAACCAAATTTACTGTTTAGTCAGCAGGGGCCAGTGCTAATGTGTACTAATTTGAGAACATGGAACTGTGATATTTTCCATAGAAAAGTGAAATGTTAAGGTATTTCTTCCATGAGCAGAAGTAAAAAAAAAAAGCTTATTCCATAGCAAAATACCTCTTCCATTGTCATGATGATTCCCTCAAAAATATGATTTGCAGAAAAAATTCTGCTGACATAACTGACAGCAGCCAATATGTCAAAAAACTCAATGTGTGAATTTCTACTTTTTAATATTTCTGGTTTTAATGAGGGATACTTGTGATCAAGTGACAAGAGATCTCTTTGGGCTTGGGTTTCAGGCTTATTAATCTGCCAGACTGCATATGATTCCCCCATACAGCTGATCAACATTGGTGGAAAACAATATTGGCAGCTACTATCTCTTGCTTAGGCTATCTTTCAACCTAGAAGTAGTTGACTGTTTCTGACTCTCCCAATTCAGTCCTTCAACCTAGGCAACCAGTTGACAAGTGCATTAACCTAGGATTTAAAATAGTCTAGTTGCCCATAATCTCAATTGATGAAGCTCAGAGAGCTTACTTAGAGAGCAACTTAGCAGCTCAGAGAAATGGAACAAGTCAAAGCATGCACAGCCTTGTCAAGCCTTCAAAATGAATGATTACTGGAAGCCCTTAAATCTTTAAAATTGAGTAATTTCATACTTGACAGCTTGTCTTGGGTCTTGGCAGATGGAGAAGGTCATCCACTGCTGTTCTGAAATGAGTTCCTCAAGACTTCCTTGGATCTTTTTCATCCCATTTCGGGTCAGAACTTCCATTGCTTCCAATCCTGTACAACAGGACATGGATTAAAGGTCTAACAGACATCTCATGAATCCACCATTGACATACAGTACAGCTTCCTCCAAGAAAATAAACTGAGTGCAGTAGAAAGACAAACCAAAAGCATTCTGGACTCCCTTGTTGGAAAGACGGGCAAGGAATCTTTCACCACACTTTGTCTGCAGCTCCAGTTCCAAGTACAGATAAACTGTGAGATGTGATCTTTTCTTCCCTTTGAAAAGAAAAAAATCTGATTAGAGGTATACTCATAATACTTCTACAGACATTTAATGTGAAGCATGTCTCAATGTACCATTTCTCAGGCATCGATGACATCTGGGATTCCTTCTGTCTCCCATCCAGAAGTAAAGAGTCCTGCGATTATCAAAGCGTCTCCTACAGACTCTACAATAACTCCTGAACCACCTCTTCCCTTCCTCTGTGCAACAAATGCAGAAGGGCTATGATTCACCATATCGCCACACTCTACTCTTAAGGCACACAAAGGTAAAAAAAAATTTACAGAAAGCTTTTTTGAAGGAACATCTGCACCTTTCACTTCACAGTGATATGGTCTCTTTCAAAGCAGTCTCCCTGTAGGTTTATGCACTTTCTCAGTGGGTATACAGTTGCATGTATGTCTGCAGCACACAATGCACTAGCATATGTGTCACTAGTTGTATCCAACTCTTGGGTACACACAATCACAACCATCAGTCATCTACCCTATTTACCATACTTGACACCCTGTGACTTCTTTCTCTTCCAACAGTTCTAGTTCATGCAAAAGGGATGCAGATATATCTTATTTAAAGATATAGGCAGATAAGGATGCCTAAAATCTACATCAAGGTATATTGCTCTTCTGTCAATGAGTCCTTCTTGTAGCCACCATTCAACACAATCCTGTTTCAAATGAGTCCCTGTTTGAATCTGTTGGGAGTCTTTTTTTGCTCCATGGAAACACATGGAATTTTGATAAGGAAATTCAAGATTCTTGCTACTTGCAATGAATCAGTCAATGAGTTCATATCATATGCAAAACATAAAAAAATTGGAGTTTACATGGAAATAGATATAGAAGAGGTTTGTTTCAGAGGTTCAAGAGGTTTCACCCTGGATGACCTGAGAAAGGTTAAGTCCATCTTGAAGAGGGAAGGAGAAGCACCTACATCAACATGAATGCACTCCTGGACATTCACTCAGAAATGCAGATCTTGTCAGTGGTGGACAAGAGAGCAAGATGAAGAGGAAGCTAAGTTACCATGTCAAGCTGGATGCAATATTTGATATAATCTTTGGAAGAAAAAAAAAACCCTCAGAGAATATAAGAACAACCATCTTTAACCCTGGAAGAAATGGATTAGAATGATATTGCTGAGAAAATCCTTTACTGAAAGAAGGCAAGAACCTTGAAACCTTTGACTATTCTCACGTTGGTGATTTTCTTATCTTTTTGTCAGTCCCAATAGCAATTGACTAGGTCTTGGGCAATATTATTTAGATATGAAACAGATTGAAAGTTCCAGCTTCTTGACCAGAAAATTTTGCCTTATCTTTAACAAAAAACCTCTCAATTCTGTTCTGTTCTGAGGTGACAATGCCTCCATCTGAATCAAAAGACTACAGTTCAATCAAACAACAGCTTCTATCACTCATGCAGAGAAGATAAGGGGATTCACTGTTAAGTCATGGAGGACAAAAATGTCTTGTCTAAAAGCCTAATGAACTGAAGCTAGTTACACAGTTAAGTGATCATATGGGCAATTGGAAGTTTTAGGTCTTTAGTACAGGCTTACCATATGGTTGAGGTACCCGGTTTATTTTGGCCAAAACTTGAAATTCTTGTCTGGCTGCAATATCACTCAAGCTCAATGTACCTGGGCAAAGGACAAAGGAAAATTTTTAAACATGATCAATACAAAAGTACCAATAGTTTACTTATCCTCTTGGAAGCATCCATACTTTAAAACAATTTTAATTTTCTAAAGAAGGGCTTCAACTCTGAGAAGAGCAGAATGATTTGTTCTCTGGTTGCAGAAAATGCACAGGGTATAGACATTCACAGCAAAATGTAGGCAGTATATGATGACAATTGCATGCCTCAATGGAGTGTGTACAAGAGCAAAGTGAAGTTCAAAAAGGGATGCAATCAGAATTTCAACAAGCATGCATGTGTGTTTATTGCATTCTTACAGTGCTGAGACTTGTCACATACCTATTTGAACTTTATAATATACACATTCTTTTGCAACATGCAACTGCTACCATAATCTTCCTGCATTCTACAGGAAATTCACTGCACTAAAATTTCTGCAACCAAAAAACCCTCATCACTCAGCTAATCTATTACATGGTGCACTCCATTATGGTACACTTCATCTTTGTGACTCCATGATGCAATATGTCAACTAAGCCAGAATACTCTTAAGGAAAATGTAATACTTTCTTACTTACACATGTATGGCCCAATAAAGCTATACATGAACATATATTTATCATTCAAACCATTTGACTTCCCAAATACCACTATTTATGCAATCATATAACTGAGTGTAGAGTATTACATTATATCTTCATATGTACAAGGGGTGATCAAAAAGTTCATGGTCTGAAGCACTTTCAGTTGCAATACACCATTCTTACTTTTCATATGGGAAGATGAATATCTTTGATGAGGACAGGTTAAATTTCATTTTATTAATTGAAGATGAACAGCTTCTATGAATTCAGTTCATTACTAACATTGAAAAACAACACTACCCACACAGCACAGTGATATCCGAGGGATGTCCACAACTGGACGAATTGTCCCCTGGTCTTTATAGGATATCCTGAAGACATCTTCTTTCGGATGGTTTCGGACATCTTGTAAGGGACATCTTCAGGATATCTAAGAGACATCTTTTAGACGTCTTAAGTCGATATCTTAAAGATATCCCTATTGGGATATCTTTAAGACATCCTTAGTCAAATGCTTCTGGATATTCTGGAAGGGATATCTTGAAGACATCGTCAGTGCTCTTTGTTGCCTACAGTCAGGTGCATAGCTTCAATGGTAGATGTCTCCCATGAGCCCTGATCTCCAACCTCAGATCTTTTCTATTGAATTCATCTACCTGATTTGTCCTGAGGATAAGTAAGGATCTCTGTACCATACATCAGGAAAACTGCCACTGGGGAAAGTGAAAAAATTGCAGTCTGAATGTTAATTTATTTTGCTATATTCTATTTAATGACGTGTGATTGGCATGTCTGGATGCAACTTTCTTGGTTGGAGGCCTGAGCCCATACTTTTATAAGGTGTAATGCTAAATCATCTCGCCCATGACCCCTTGTATAAAGGTACTACATTTCGTCCCTTGGAGATGTGTCTCCTTTGATGTGGGCCCCTTTAAGAACAGGATTTTCCTCACCATAATCATCACTCTTCAATCGGTCAAGAACTTAAGATTAGGTGTTCCTATATCAAATATAGACATCTTTGAAAGTAATGGGTTCTTCTGTGTGGTAGGAAATGAATCCATTGCAGATAGGAAGGTGTCTGCAAGTACTACCCAAAACTTCTCACGTGTCCCAAGGAGATATCTCTGGGTCATCCTTTGGATATACAAGTACTTGTGCTGTAAGAAAGAGACATCTTTGGGATGTCTTTATGCCCAGACATCTTAGGGATGAATACACTAACCATGCACTGAATACACTAAACAAACATGAAGACCATTTAAAAGGAAGGGATAGCAAAATGAACTCTTAGGTGCTGAAAGCTCTGCAGGATCCTCATCAGAGGTCTGGTCTTGCTAAAACTTTCAATGCAGATAAATCTTTTTCAGAAAATCCAAAAGAGTGATAAGTTAGAAGAATAGGAAAGAGTATGGCTGTATGGTTGTAAGGTGACTGTACCCACAGATCAAGTCCAACTCATAACCACCACAAATTCAAACTTCATTGGCTGGAGAGAGCTCATGCTCAAGCTGCTAAAACAACCAGGGCAAAGTGTACTGTGGCTGTACATATGATGGTACTCAGAAAATCAACCACTCACCAACCAAGAATCAATAAGAAATTAAGCTTTCACTATCAACATTGGGATTGTTCACAATGGCACTTTCAGATAGACTTAAGCCGTGAATGCTTCTGATTTCTTAGGTACAGGTTTTCTAGTTAATGTACCTGCCAGAAGAAGCTATTCTGGATAGGGCTCATACAGTCAAACTTGCAGCCTCAATCCCCTGATGATTTAGGCTACCTGGAAATTTTCTAGGATAAGGTCTTTCACTAACATCCATTGGCTTTGCACCAAAATCTGCAAGCTTTTTTTTTTTTTTAATAATAATTTGGTTTACTTTGGTTGCTTTCTGTTCTTGACTTCTGGAGTTGGAGGTTGGGCATTTTCTGCCAGATGCCCTTGAGTAGAGGTCATTGAGTACCCATGGCCCCATCCCAGGAGCCCATCAACAAGCATCACTAAACTACTATTAAATGCCAGGCAAAGATGGGGGACTAAGAGGAATAAGGCCATGAAGGAACTGATCTGAGCCCATTCAACTTCAACACAAATCCAAAACAAAAGGATCCTCTCTATGGCAATTGGCTCTGGGCAAAGAAGATATTGGTTTAACAATGAACATGGTGATGGCAGACATCAAACAGCCTGCAAGTCTTTAAAATGTAATATGGTTGCTACACTTGAAGAAGTATCAAGGAACTCTTGGGAGATTACTTTTAGGGGCACACATATGTAAGTGTCCATTTACAATATAAATAGCTGTTTGGGTATGTATAAAGCCCAAAAGCATGAACCATCAGATTTACCATTTGCAGAAAAAAATAGGCATTTGATTGAGGATGAATCAAAATGCATACAAAGCTTTTGCAGCTTAATCACCTACAGGTGACAATTCTCACTGCTTTGCATTACAATAACATATATACAATGATATCTCATCAATTCTACAACTAATGGAACTTGCCATCAACCCTATTCTCAGAAGGAACATCAGCCATCATCAATGGGTGAGGAATGAGTTCTTGTATGTCATTCATGGAAACATCATCTGAAGGGATGATAGACACAGCTTCCTCCTGTAGATGCAATACGATATCATTTGCAAAGTAGCAAAGCCAACCATATTGTCCCTACAATGGCAAAGTCATCAAAGTGCATTTCCTTTGTTGTGCAGGAGAACTACACAAAGTTTACTGAAGGCTTTGTAAAAAAAAAATTATTAGAGGCAGTGTCATGATATAATAGCCCATGGTGTTTGCAAGTGCAATATAAGAAGATTGGCAATACTGGCATTGGAAAGATCACAACCTGGCAAGTTTAGAGGTGTGCTCAACTTGAAAATAAAATTTTTCACTTTGGTGAATCTGACATTATAGCAATGATATATAAGCTGTAGGTGGTAAGACCTGGTTGATCAGCATTCGCATGAATTTAAAAATAAATTTCCCTCTTTTCCAAGTATTCTTGTAGACACTTTCCCTTAAAGAAATTTGCCTTTTTGTACCCCTCTTCCACCTTCCACATATAGACAATAACCTGACAAAACGGCAATCATGCAATTAAAAAAATTGTTCAGGAATACCAACATGTTTTAAACTACAGAATGAGAATTGAGGAATGTTCAACTTCATACTTGACACCCCAAAGGTTGGAGTCTCTCCTAGGAAAATGAATGTTCTTGAATTTTTATTCTCCAGTCAGAAGAATTGAAGAATTCTTTCAGTTCAAAAATGTAAAAACTACAAATATGAAATTTTGTCAGATCATATACAAAAGCACACTCCACTTTTTTAAAGGGTGACTGATTAAACTTCATGAAGAATATTGGTGAAATTTCATCACATCAATCTTCCACATTTTCTATGAATGACTGGTGAAACTTTCCAATTTGCCTAACTTTAAATTGGGGAAAATTCCCCAGATACTCCCCTAAACTATTCACCCCATTCTACTTTCCTGACTTTTCTTAGCTTTCCAGGCATGGAAAAACCCATCAATGTTCATGACTTCACTGACCTGTAGTTTTTCCAAGAGGAAAGCATGTTGAAGACATTCATGTTGCAAATGTCTTGATGAACTTTGGTTTTCAAGCTCTGGATCACCATGGGTGGAAATGCATGATTCAGGCTGATGATTTTGGACATTCAAGCTTTTGTTTTTTAGAAAAAGACGTGGATAAGAAATACCACACATATGACTTCCAGGTGGGATGTCTCCAATGACAGAGCTTTGTGTTGCAATTTCAGGCATTGATTCCAGATTGCATATACTCTGAGATTGCTTCATGACAGGAGATTGCCTTTTTCCATTCTGACAAGCACTGCCATAACAAGGAATCTCAGATTCACCCATGACTGACAGAGCATCAGCTTCCAATTTGGCAAGACTTGTATATCTTTCAGGGAATTGTGGAGGGGTGAAAGAAATCCCTTTCATACACCTAGAGAAGAGATCGACGAATCCAATCATAAGCAATACCATCCAGTGCTCGGAGACTTTTCTTCAATGAAACATCAAACTTATGTTTTTAAATATCTACAAAAGCAGCATTGCCAACTTAAAATAACATGATGGATCCAATAACATTCAATTACAACCAGAAATCAATTGAAATTAATCAATTATTAAAAAACTGGCGACAAAATCTCTTCTCTTTGAGAACTTGTGCAGGCAGGGTAGTGATTTTTTGCTTTTAATCTGAGTAGGCCTTTCTGTTAAGATTTAAACACCAAAACTAAAGATCAACTGGAAAACTTGGATAATAAATTATGGTCTCCACAGTGCTCTCATGATGTAGTTTCACTCAAAATCCCTTAGCTTAATTTATAAATGGAGCCAGGAACTGGCTAAAATTAGATGAATCCACTGAAAATTAAAATAAAAAGTACAGGATTATTCAAATTAAAATGCACATGAAATAATAGCTCTGTGTGTAACTCACAACTTAATTGGACTTACTTTTGATTACTGCAGGAATAAAACTTGATTTTTAGGGCAATTTGAAAATGAGTCTAAAACCTTAAATATCCTGAAAATTATGTTCATTTTCTCTAGCCATCTTAGCACATGAGTGATGATGTAATGGCAACTCAAATTTTGTTTTTGCACAAGTAAACATATCAGTGAGAGGGTGGCTGGCATATGTTGTGTGCACCTGTCTCATGCCAGAGTTCCTCTGTCTCCCCATGAAACCACTGCTCTTTGAGATAGGATGGGGTGAGGCAAGTATTTCCTGGTTAGGGATGAAATATATGTAGGCCTCTCACAAAGAGACTGATTCACAAGTTGTAAGAAAATAGTTTGTCAAAGAGGATACGAAGACTAAGGGTGGATTTTTGAACAGAGAACTATCTGATAATGCAGCTTTATTTTCAGGAAATATAATGTATTTTCCCTGGAATAAAGCTGCATTAGCAGATAGTTCTCTGATCAAAAAACCACCCTAAAACAAGCCTAAACAAAAAGTGGGTTCTTCTTTTCATATGGCTGGGGAGAAACAATTGATAAATTTAGGTTGAGGTTGGATAACCATTTGATAGCAGAACCCAAAGCTGAATGTATTGGGTCAATTGGAAAGTTTTGGCTGTTTCGAGAATTTTCCAGAAACAAAATGTATGGAACTTTCTCAAACCTTCAACAGTAGTAGTATATAAAGAGTGTGTGGGCGTGATTACGCAGCATTAGCTTAGTCGTTCAAAGCCTATAATCATGACTTCCAAAATTGACTTTAACAAGACCGCCCAACGTCAGTGCCTTCTTTATGACTTCTTATCTGGCATCACAGCAGCTGAATCGAGTTGCCACATCTGCACTGCAGTTGGGCAAGGTGCAGTTTATGAAAGTACAGGGTGATGATGGTTTGATCGTTTCCGGTCTGGAAATTACAGCCTCAAGGATGAGCTCAGGTCAGGTTGCCCATCTGAAACTGACAACAAGCAGTTGCAGCACACAGTGGAAGCCAATCCAAGGCAAAGTACCAACGACTTAGTGACAGCACTTAGCTGCGCCCAGTCAACGATCGTGACACACCTGGCTGCAATCAGCAAGAAGAGCAAGTTGGGTCAGTGGGTACCCCGCAATCTGACTGACTGCGACCGCAAACGCCATGATGAGGTGTGCATTTCACTGCTGTTGTACAAGCACACAAACGACTGGCTGGATTTTGTAGTCACTGGAGATGAAAAGTGGATGCCGTACATCAACTACTGATGCAGGCACCAGTGGGTTGATGCTGATGCCCAGCCAGAGCCAGAGCCGAAAGGTGACCTGCATTCCCGAAAAGTCATGTTGTGCATTTGGTGGGAAATGCAAGGTGTGATTGACTTTGAGCTACTCCCACCAAATACCAGCATCACTGCCGCCTACTACTGCGATCGGCTGCAGAAGCTTGCCAACAAACTCTGCATGGTGAGACCAGGGCACCGTTGTGTTCGATTCCTGCACGACAATGCAAGGTCACATGTCGCGAAGATCACATGGCAGAAACTGCTGGATCTGGGCTGGGAGGTTCTGCCTCACCCTCCATATAGCCCAGATCTGGCACCAACTGACTACCATCTCTTCTGCGCTCTGGATGACCATCTTCACCAGAAAAGGTTCAACGATGACACAGAGGTCGAAAACTGGCTGACTAATTTTTTCGACTCATAGTCAGCTCAGTTCTACAGTGATGGAATCAGGAGTCTGCCAGATCATTGGCAGTAGGTGATTCACTGTGATGGTGTTTACCTCATTGAATGAACTTTTTTGCTTTTTCAGTTGTATGGAATGTTCTCGAAATGGCCAGAACTTTCTGATCGACCCAAATAGTTCAGAGAGTTCGTGTAGTTCACCATCTATTGGCATTGGCTTGTAATATGTTCCATGGTTTGATCAGCGTTCCCAGAAATGCATGGCAGATAATTTTGCATTTGATTTTTAAAAATGATTTTTGATAAAACTATTTTTACATGGAAGAAGTCATTGTTTCCCAAGATGATGATCCAGGGATGCAAAAATCCCACAAGCAAATTGTCAGATGTAGGGGTGCATCAGAGATCTGTGCAGCAGAATCTGAAGTGCAGAGAGAAAATGCCCTAGGAAATAATTGTCATTCCAAGTCAGGGAGGCAAGTCCTCTATTCAGCATCACGATGTGAGCACAAAAATAAAATTCCAGTTGCTTTTGAGCTAAAATGGCTAGAGATAAATGGGCATCTATACATCAAAGGATGTATAGATACATCGTCTGACGTCTATTGAATGAAATAAATTTTGTAGCTAGATGTTGTTTCAAAGGCACCATAGAATTCCAAAGAGAGTCGCATTTTCTTTGCCTCACCCAGTATACAGTATACAGGGTGATCACATGAAACCTTTACAACTTATAATAAGCCTAACTTCCAAATGGGGTAATATACCGTATTTACTCACGTATAAGGTGCTTTTTTTTTGCATATTTTATTGTGTTCGATGAGGGGGTGCGTCTTATACTCGAAGAAAAAAATTGTTCAGCATACGTATAACTCATTGGTCACTAATTTGAGGTGGAAACTGTCTGCAGTCAGTCAGAACAGGAGAAATAATAATTATAAAACAATAAACAGGGAGTGGCTACGTCGATTCATGGACTTCATTCGGTTCCAGAGACAATAATTTCTCATGGAAAGCTGCTGACATTTTCCGATGAACAGAAAATCCAACTTGCTTATGAATCGCGTCATTCAACCTCATGATGCATTGAATTTTCTATGGGAGATCCCATTTGCTCTTGAAATCGTATGGGTTTGCGTCTCCATCACTCTCGGTCACTCCCTTCTTGATTACCAGAAATGATTCCTTTTTCCCCATGAAAGGTCATGAGATTCTTTAGAGCCGGGCCTAATTTTGCCTTCGCCTCCATCTGCTTCTGTATACAACTTTCCTCGATGTCATACTTATGACCTATTGTACGGATGCCCAACTCCTTCGCTTCCTGAATCACATGGATTTCTCTGCAGCTATGTTATTTCGCCATATATTTCCATCCGTTTTCATGGATAATAAAACAAACATTAGGGATACTGTGCCCCCCCTCGATAAAGGTCAGGACAGTGAATAAGAAATGAGGTTCGACCTACCTCAAGACCGGCTTTACCCCTTATTCGTCTCCCTTGTCCAACACTTTTCGCTACAAAACAGGGGTGTGCCTTATATGCAGGGAATCTTTTTTTACACAAATTGGGACCTCAAAAGTGGGGGTGCATCCTATACACGGTGGCGCACTACACTGGAGTAAATACGGTATTCTGAAGCAGTTTTCTGCATATTGTTAAGCAACTCAAAAAGTTTATTGCAGCAGATTTTTTTGCATTCCAAGTGACTGCAGGTGATTGAACAATCCCAAAACCCAAAAATGACAACACCACAGGAAAAGGCACAGTGCATAGCATGGTTCATTGAAACAAAATCGGACGTTCAGGTGCAATGTAATTTTCGCTGTGCGAGTTGAACCTTGTATGCTTGCAGCCTCAAGTGCTTGTGTAGCACCTTGTGCACTGTTGATTGTGGTATCTGCTATTCCTGGGCACACTTGCATGTGGATTTCTGAGGACTACACAAAAAGGATTGTCAGATCCATTCCATACCTTCAGCACTTGTGCTTGCATGCCCGGACCCTGGGTGCCATAGGACACTTCTGGTTTCCATGAATTTCTTATGCTAGTCATGTATCGATGGTCTATTTGGTGGTGTCCTTTAGTATTTCATTCAAAAATTACATTGCACCTGAACATTCAATTTTGTTTCCACAAACCATGCTATGCACTGCACCTTCTCCTGTGGTGTTGTCATTTTTGGGTTGTTCAATCACCTGCAGTCACTTGGAAAACAAAAAATTCTGCTGCAATAAACTTTTTGAGTTGCTTAACAATATGCAGAAAACTGCTTCAGATTATATTACCTCATTTGGAAGTTAGGCTTTTTCTAAGTTGTAAAGGTTTCATGTGATCACCCTGTATATATGAGATGACCAATGCAGCTGGTGAAAGCAAAATGGGAAGGTGTACGCACTCATGGATGGCTAAGCATGGATCTCCACTTGATTCCAGATTGTTGAGAATTCCACTTCTTGGCCTCTTCATTACAAAAGTGAGGGAAGTCCCATCCTTCTTCACACAGACTCCAAGCAAGGCAACAAATCCACCCTGGAAGACATATGCAGAATCCCCTTTGACTGGTTTCTTGTAAAATTTGGCAATTGACCACCATTGATTTATCAGCTTAACTTGAAAATTATTTTCCTGATAAAAATTTGCATTCCCAAAGAATACCTACACCTTATATGCCATCATCAACTTTCTTAACGACACTAAAAATGATTTTTTCAGTTTCCCTGTTATTTGAGAAAAATTTAGTATATTTTACTTCGTTTTTACATTACTACCATGACTTTTCAATGTCATCAAATATCCATGGCCATTTGTGCCTCATCTTCATGGGGTATTGAAGAGATACTATCCTTTGTCAAGGTGCCAGTGTTCCAGCCTTTCAGTTAAATTTCATTGCACATCCAGTTAATCTTTGCTTAACAGAGTGAAAGAACACCTACAGGTTTATTTTTTTTTGGGGGGGGGGGGAATTTCCTCTTTGACATCATTTCCATTGTTCTGTCACATTTCCAGCACTATCAAGGGTCAATCTGATTTTTTATTTTATTGAAAAAATATAGTGAGGGTTCCAGAGGTGAATCCACAAGGCCTGGTGAAGGTTAATGGAAGGTCCCTGCAAAGGAAGATAAACTGCAGTATAAGGCAACCTTCTGTTAGCTGAAGCTAAACTGAATTTCCAGATAATATTTATTTGCGAGCTCTTCAAGATATGTAGTTAATAAGTCTAGGATGCATTCACTAGGCTTGAACATGTTTTCCCAAGACCATGCTGGCAAAATAAATGCACAAAATAATGCTGAAGTGTTGAGCTACAGGTAGGACATGTTTTATTGAGTCCATATAGTGGAGTTCCTTGAAAACATGTAGGCCTACTCAGTTCTAAATTGGGAGAGTTAACCCCATCAAGTCACTCCAAATGAGCACAGGGGCAATTTAAAAAGTATGAAGTCATTCTGAATTCATGAACCTCCCAGGATGTTAAGAATCCCAAGTGATAAATTGGTGACATATGCAACTGCTATGAGGTGCTACTCCAAATAGGCAGAGATCTCTTCAGCAGTTCATAGGTACCATGAATTCTTGCCCTTATGAGATATGTTTCAGCAATTCTATCTTGGCTGGCATCAAACAAGCACTTTAGACATGGGTGTGCCAGAATAGCTCTCAGAGGAAGTCAAAACTGCAAACTCCTTATATAGCATGGCTGTATCAGCTCTTTGAAGGCTTGCTTAAACTAGAGTGCAGATATATCTGGTCTCCAAAAACTTTAACACATTGATGCCTGGAACCATAATATTACGCTTTTAAACCCATATTTTACTGCAGTCGCTGGGTGTGAATGTGCTAAACAACAAAATACACCTCAACACACTGACATGGTGCAACAGTTGGCTCAAAAAGTAAACAAAAATTCATGCATTCAAAATTCCACTCATGGTTGGAAGTACAAAAAATTCTCCCCACCACATGAAAGTTTCCTTTGAAATTGCTCCCCAACCAAGGGGTTAACCTTTCTTATTGAATAGTAGGCCAACAGTCATTAATGTAACCTACAAGAGCACACTGAGCAGCTTTGATGAGTCCTCTTCCTTGCAACAGGACTGTCTTGGGGATGCAACTTCCATCACTAACAGTCAGAGAATGGGCACTACACCTCTCAGTCTTCTTGCAATCCTCCAGCTGTCATGGAAAAAAAAAAATTACATCTGCAAAGAGAAACCTCTATTCTCTGCTTTCAATCAATTTAAGAATCAAAATGTAAATCGAGTGAGTTTCTGACAAATATGAGGGATGATCCAAAATGATTATCCTGTTGCCTAAGATATAAGGAAAAGTGAAAAACTTGTGAAACAAATTTTTTTCCAACATAATATTCCTGGACATCAACACTTGTGCCATCAATGGGAAAGGAAATGAATTTCATGGGTGAAAATTTCCTACTCGTAGTTTTCTAAAAATGCTTGCACTTCAAACAGGAAAAGGAAAATGCTTCATAGCATTCACTGTCATTTTTGGAGCTGCTTTCAGTTAAACTTTACTTTAAACATTTTAGAGCATCAAATGAGTTATTCCACTAGAACAAATGAGCTTACATGAATTAAATTAATGTTTTGTTGAATAAAAATTGCTCACTGCTCTTTATTCAATTTTTACCAGTTTCATATTTTATGGGAACATTTTTCCAATACTATTGATCTAAAAAAAAATTAATGTGGTTAACCCCATATAGAAAGATCATATATGGTTAAAACATATGATCCATGTAAGGATGATTCATATATTAAACACACCTGGTCAGCATATATATTCCATATAAAATAATTCTGTGGTTTGAGGGATGGGCTCCTGCATATATAATGATGTAGCTGATTTAAGTAAATTTTTACATGGATATTAGAAAGGACTTTCATATACAGGGTGTCCCATAAGTCACTTTACCATTTCAAAAAATCACAACTACTAAACAGTTGGCATAAAAAAGAAGTAACATTACCTGAATGATAGCATGTCATTTGAAATTATCTTTGTCAAAAATGGAGGCAATTCTGAGTTTTGAAAGTGCCTCAAAATGCCATTGGCCTACATCAATACATTTGGCATGAGGCTTGGCACCAAAAAATCACCTAAACTTCCTTTAAACTCTGATGGGACTCTCAAAGACCTCCACCCAGGTGGAAACTTTTCTTCATTGCTCCAGGGTCAATTGTGAAGAAGCCTTTTTTCATGACAGCATCAGCGAATTTAAAAATAAAAAAATAATGTTTTGTGAGTCTATCTGAATTTAGGAGAAAAAAACATAAAATAAACAATTTTGTAAAAGAGGATTGGAGAAGGTGTACTGTGAATTGTCCTAAATATGTACACCTTTCTAATATGCATTCAAATCAATTTCCATTTGAGTTGCTTCTTGATGTACTCTTGGTGTACTCTCAAAGGCAGCCTATCTTATGTTGTCTCTCATCATCGCCAACCACCCCAGGAATGTAAAAGTTTAATGACAAACCTGAAATCAGAAGAAAATTAGTTTTTTAAATAAGTATAACACTTATATTTTTGATACTCCATAATTGCTGTCCCCCCCCCCTCCTAGCAAAAGGCTATGCAAAACCCTGTACATGTTCAGCATGTGTGCTTTCATAACAAAATATGTTACTAGAAACATGTATATCTCATATGCATAAGGTATAGTACACAATTTATATGGTATGGTTGTACCCACGTGCGTGGCACGACTCTTCTCTGTATGCAATTTGACTGCGATCATTATCACTGTTGTTACTTTGCCATGCGTCATTTCACTGCATATACATATTCACTGTCTTCCCTTTCCCTGTAGCACCCTTTTCACTGTGGGGCTTTTTCATGCAGGCACGATGTTTTCTGTTTTCTTTGGCTTATCTCACTGCTTCATTCATTCATTCATTCCCAAGGGCAAGTCTAGGACTTGTATGAACGACAGTGGTTTCGAGTTTCTAATATAATTTCTCCCTGCAGTTTCTTCATTGTATCCTTTGTTCCTTGCAGTCGCTCCTGCGTGTTCATTATCTACCCGTACGTCATTTTGTAGGTTTTCATAATTTAGTATTAATATTCTATAGTCCATATCGCATTGATTTTTTTTTTACTACAGAGTTTCAATTCTAGATTCTGTCATGACTTTTGTCATCAGCAGTAAAGGTCAACCAAAGTTGGTTGACACGGGCTTTATATTCATAAAAGAAAGGAGTTTTGGAAGCAAAACATACTGGACATGTGAATATAGTTCATGGCGCTGAATCTTCAGTTTTGAACTCATTCTGACAATCCCCCTATTTTCTCCCGAGGGTTTTCCTCTCATGTGCCAATTATTAACCCGTTTTATTTCAATATCCATAATTTTTTAGGACAATTTTTGCAGCGAAAGTGAATGCAGTGAAAAGGGTATCACAGTGAAATGATGTACAGTTAATTGACGCATGCGAATAAATTGTTTTCAGTGAAATGTCAGCCATAATTTGACTAACATAGAAGTGACTTGCAGTGAAATGACGTGGAGCCACCCACATGGCACGGTGACATCCCAGGGATGTCCCAAACTGGACAATTTGTCCCAAGGCCTTCATGAGATATTTTAAGGACATCTTCAGTTGGATGGTTCCTGACATTTCAAAAGGGATGTCTTTGGGGCTTTTCAGAGATGTCTTTTAGACATCTTCAGTCAAAGAATACCATACAGGACATCCCTTTAAAAACAAAGAATTTTCCTGTATGGCAGGAAATGAGTTTGTTTCCCAAAGAAAGGCAGATATTTTGATGTTGCTGAGAAGTCCCTGAGTGAAATCCAGAGAATCTCTGGGACTTCTTACTTGTCCCAAGGGGGTATCATTGGGATGTACTTATGCTGTGCTGGAAGTGAATGGTTTTTGTATTTTCACAGAAGTGACAGATGTAGTTTCAATTCTCAGCTTAGTTCCTGAAGTTATTTTTGACACTGGCAAGAGACTTGTGAAAGTAACATGATTTCATGTATGTCTCATGCCAGATTTGGTCATGTCTCTGTCTCTAATCAGGTGTGACATATATGCCCCACTATAAACTAGACAGACAATACTAAGTCATACAAGTACCTCATCAGCTCCTCCATATCTTTTGCATACATACTTTTTATGGCCTTGCCATATATGATCATGTACTCATTGTTTCAAGAAAATATGTCCATATATGATAGACCACATATGTCCCATACATCATATACGTCTTTTTATACACCACCTCTACCTTCCTCACACCATTACCCATGTCCTCCACATCCTTTTAGAGCAATTGATGCAAGATAAGACAAAGGTAAATGATCATGACTTTTATCGTTCTTACTCTTCATTTATAGGCAGAAGGTAGGATTGCTAAATTTACTGATTGCCCTGACTTTTCTTAGACTTTCAGGATATTGGGGCAATTGCCACACATATGGACCAAATTTCTACATCTGTGACTTTTCTGATGTGTTCCAAGTTCTCCAGGTCTGAAGAAAACATGTCAAGATCATAAAGTCCAGCCACATCTCATGCATGATAATTAGAGAACGACCTATATGTTGGTTGCTGATATAAATCGGCCAATATGGGCATATTGGTGAGTATTCACATCAGCTCTTTCAAACCTTCAGGTTTTTGCCAATATCAGAAGTAGTTCTGTTCGATCTATACAGTGAAAGAAAATATGACTAGGACTATCTTTTTTGTGCCCATATGGAAACCCTGAGACATGTGATATAGGCAATATGGCATCATCTGAGAGGCAAGGAATCACAGGTCTTTCACTCTGCTTATGTTCCTGGTCTGGAACATAGAGGCAGACCTCTGCTCTAAGGCAGTGGTTCCCAACCTCAGGTCGCGACCCAAATCGGGGTTGCTGGGGGTCCTCGGTATGGTCGCAAAGGGTCAATATAATCAAATAAATATAGTTGCATACAAATATGCATGTATATTTATATACATATTTAAATTTTATCATAAGCCTGAGGAGCGGGAGATCCTGTTGATGGCCAATTTAGGGTCACAGCAAAAAAAGGTTGGGAACCACTGCTCTAAGGCTTAGGTTTGACTTATGCTTTGCAGCCTGACTTCATTGTGAGTTCATCAAGGAGAATTTGAAGTAAAATCAAGCTGTCCTGTTGAATCTTCAATATGGTTTTGTTTATGCTGAAATATCAGCCAATATTGTATCAGATCTCTGCTTCATATATCAGCCAATATCAGAATCTGTAAAATCACTAAAATCAAATATTTGTTGATCTCTAATGATAATATGCATGACATGGATGGAACAAAGAAAAATGCCAACACTCAGTACCTACTTTGCATATCACATTTCCACTGAGTATGGTCTGAGATGGAATGCAGCCTGGTGTTATGGGATCCCTCAAGACTCTCATATTCCGCCAAGTCAGAAGTTCCCGACACCTTCGCATAATTGTAGCTGAGAGAGAATGCAACAGAACAGTCTTCCATTAGCACAGCAAAAGCTAAAAGCATTTCCAATGTCTTGAAACCCAAAGGAAGCATTAATCAAGGCACAAAGACTGGTTTCAAGGTTATTGGGAGAACACAGGAAAGCCCAGTTCAGATGGGAGACCTTCTTTGAGTGGAGCATAAGAGATGGTACAAAAAAGTAGAGAACATGAAGAGTGTAGGCAAATAAGAGTAAGTACAGCTGTTCAATAATTGAAGAGTTCTTAAAAAAAAAAAAAGGGCGCATGTGCAAAAGATGCAATTCGAGATAAACAATAAAGACTTCCCATAGCTATTCTGAAGCTGGTCAAAACTCAATTATCAGTAAAATGGTATCTTGGACCACTTTCCAATTGAACTTAGGGTTTTAATGAATTTCTTCATCTCACATTGCTGGGATGCAGGCAGAAAGTGTTTATGCAAATACGCCCTTCTTCCATATCCACACTGCTGAAACTTTTTCCGACTAGTCTTTCACCACTCCTTTCCAGTTAAAAATAATAATTAATCAATAAATCCATTTATAGATTTCAAATAAACTCTTTCTTGAGAAGAGCAATGAAAATGCGAACATTCAGGACACGTTTCATTCACCAATCACTTGGCAGTGATCCATTATTAATGTATTCATCATCTGAATCTGCAACTATTTCATGGATATCTCCAACTTCTCACATCCTTCCAAAGGCTTCAATGACTCCGCCTCTTTCTTTCCCTTTCCTCATGTCTGATTTCTTCCTCATTTTCACTTTCAATTTAAAAGGACAAAATAATTCCACCAAAATCGTTCAGCATGCAAGTGCTAATGGAATATTCATGGAGGCAGCCATATTGAAATTGTCAGGCAGTTGGCCTGCTACATAGTGAGAGCATAGGAAAATCTTCTCCTTTGCTGAATACGCATGTTAACTACTTGCTGACCACCCTATCCTATGACAAATCATCTAAAACAGCACATGGACACATATGGAAAAAGGGCATATGGATAAATTTACACCCCTTTTCTAGAGAACTCCTCAATTTATTCACAAGAAGAGAGGATCAGAATTCTTTGAAGTGCAATGCCATTGAATCCTTCAGAGGATGTGCATGAGAATAATGGATAGAAATGGGCATTTTCAGGAAGTTTATTTCTTGGACTTCAATTAAATTTGGTGAGTTCCCTTTGGTAAGTTATTGAATACCACAGAATATTTTTGAAATGATAAACTTGGGGGTTGAGCAGTGACTTCGGAAATTTCTGCCCTAGGCCACAGCTCAAAGAATGCTCTCTAATGCTAAAAACATGCAACGTGAATGAGACTGGACAAAGCTTAGCATGTCCATACCCAGGACTCCAAAAACTCCTCTGGAAAAAACTTATCCAGGTATCTCCAGTAGCTCAAGCAAAGTCACAAGGCCACTCAAAACTGCATCAAAGTGCAAAATATATCAACTTTAATCTCTAAAGCTATTAGCCCCAAATTGATGACTAGACATACCATATATTTATCATATGAAAGTTGAGACATTGGGTTCTGCTAAAATAGCAGAGTTCTCTCTCTGGAAAAAAAAAGTTATGCCTCAATAACAAGAGAGAGGTTGCCATTTTCACAAACTTTAGCATTCTCTATCTCTAACTTATGAACACCATAGAAAGACGGATGGGTTGGACAAATCTTAAAGTGAAAATATTGAGTGTATTCAAGTTTCTTGCTCTCAGGAAAAATGAAGAGCACATCAGAGGTGATCTGCCTGGTGCATCATTACATAATTAGAGTCACAGAGTAATGAGCAGTAAATTCAGTACTCAAACTCATTTGTTAAAGATACATTGATAATTCTCTATAGGCATGTTAAAATCTAGTCATTGTTGGAAACCACATTCTTCACCAAATAGGATAAGAAAAATCAAGTTATAAAGCAAGAAGTTACATCCCATTAAAATGAGAAAGTTTGGTGTTTCTTTCCCTCTGACTTTGAGCTGCACAAGTTTTTTAGAATGAATATTGTAAATACCATGAGCTTCATCCTTGATCCATTACCAACACATTTCCCTATGCTGGGAAAAGGTGTTGGTAATTGTCAGCCCATAGCAAGCACAGAAGCCCAATAACTTTTGTCTTTCCCATGGGGCTTCTCTAAAACAGCCCATCACCCCACTCCAAGTTGTTTTGTCTTTCCTAACTTGCACATTGAAGTCTCCCTTAAGCAAGAGAGAGATATGGGAAAGAGTCTCATGTAATATCATTCATAATTCTGTCATACTCCTCTTCATGGAAAGCATTGTAGTCCAATGCATTCACTCTGTACACCTGAACTACAGACAAGATGTATTGCTCAAATATAAGGTGAGTCAGAGCGAATCACTCACCAAAAGGTTTTACAGACAAAAGAAAAAGAAATTGAGGCAATTTTTTGTGGATGTGGTTATTTCAACTCAAATCAATTACCGTATTTATTCCAGTATAGTGCGCCACCGTGTATAAGATGCACCCCCACTTTTGAGGTCCCAATTTGTGTAAAAAAAAGATTCCTCACGTATAAGGCGCACCCCCTCATCGAACACAATAAAATATGCAAAAAAATGTACCTTATACACGAGTAAATACGGTAAGTAAGTTGATAAACATACAGTGGTTCTTTGTTTTTCAGAGACATCACAAGACGAAGCATTAAGACAGACAAGATTGTGGGTATGCCATTGCACTCACTGTTAGTAACAATATCTCCTGATTTTCCATGAAAAACTCCAGGTGTTGAAGAGGAAGAAATGGTGTCTATGAAGATAAACTTTGTTTGCATCTGAAGTTCCTTTGCACCCTTCCATTTGTTCAGTCTCACCTGCAAGAGATTAAGCTCAGCTATGCCTGTAGTTGCATTACAGTACAATGGTCTCTGAAAATCTGGCTCATAATTCAATTGCATGACACTGATGGATAAACTTAAAAGCAGATGCATGAAAATCATTTATCTGCTGTGTCCTGATTCAAGAGACATATACAATGCTCAAACATATCATTCATAAGTGCATTGGTACATCATCAGTGTGGGATTTCCACACTAGAATTATAAAAAGAAAGGCAAAATAAGGATAGGCCTCATGAGCCATCTATTCAGATCCAGAGACTTTGTGTTGTTAAAATTTTAATAGAATTGAAGAAATCTGAGTCTACTTATTCACAATTCCTCCAGCACAACTATATGGTTGTCCATACTGGAAGAGATACTGAGATTGGACATAGGGGAGAAAACTCACAAATCCATCCAAAAGGAAAATGTGCCCTGGATTAGTGAAGAACTTCAGTTTCTCACATCTATCCACTTTTGTGAAAACATGAAGGACCGCAGTGTCATCTTCTACATAGAAGTCCACAGCACAATGACCACCTTGACTGAAGGCAAAATGATTCCCAAACCTCTACAGAGAAGAATGACAAAAAAATTAATAATTTTTCATTTCCAATGATGGGCTTCACCTGAACAAGTGTTTAAGAGGCTAGGAAAGATTTATGAACATTTAAGACTAAATGACACCTGTTTACCAGTGTAAGTAACCTCAGAATAGCACTTAGAAGTATTAACTGGGAGTGAATCTAGTAGAGAAGTAGAAGTGGCTAATGCCACCCTTGAAAGAGGAAGAAACAGAAGGCAAGAGAATATACACATTCTGGTGTCTTCATGCTTCTACCATCTTAGATGAAACTCTGCAATGATCATCACAGAAGAGATGCATTGTGGATAGAAGTTGACATGTATTCTAATGAGAACTCAATTCTGTAAAGTTACAGCTAATGGAAAGGCCTCCTGAATTCAAAACTCCCAGAAGCTCACTAACATATCACTCCACAAAAATATTACAATGAGGCTGCAAACCAATGAGATTAACTGACTGATTCATTTACCTACACTATATAATATTAGGGTAATTGATTTTTTAAATTGTCCCAGAATGAATCCTGCAGAGCCTGTGTGACCATTCTACACCAATTTAAAAAAACTAACTGAAATTTTGCACTGAAAGGTGGTATTCATGTGCTACCCTATGCCCATGGAGGGGGATTATAATACTGTTCATGAGTTGTTTCACTAACACATTTGCTGTCATAAATGGCTGTAGCTGTTTTCACGAATCCATTCAAAATAGTTCTCAAATTCTTCAATTCTTTAACTGGTGTAGCTCAAATGCTACAAAACATTTGGGAAACATAAAGGAGACATAGAAGAAGTGATGTAGGTATCGAGGCTTTCCTTTTATGAGGCTGAGTTTCAGAGGCACTGAAACTAAAAAAGATGTAGAAGGTACTGTAGTAATGATCATACCTTTGGGATGGAATTCTAGCATCTATCTGGCATCTATCATTCTGGAAATGATAGATGCCAGATAAAACTCACCACACATGCCAGATTGTTGTGAAATAATGAATAAGTTGTGCATAATCACTTCATGCCACATTGTATCAGGAATATAGCATGCTTATCATAAGCCAATCAGTACTAGTGATGGTATTCTTGATCTAGCTCAATTGACAACCAGAAACTGAGCAAATGGTCACAGCCTAAAGTAATTGAAGATGTAAGTGAACAATCAATGAATAAATGAGGTTGAAACTCACTCGGAAGAGGCAGATGATATGACCCAAGGTATCTAACTGAAGAGAATCAAGGGGAGTGAATATACTCATTTGAGTATCTCCTGTCACCATTGGCATGTCTTTGGAGCTCTCATGTTTTCAATAAGATGTCTTTATTCCTTGCTGAAAAATGCAACAGTATAACGCTCTTATGCTTGTTTGTACAATACACTAAAGCATAGGCCCTTAATATCAACTCTGTAACAGGAATACAGTTATGAATGCATGGAAGCAAAAGGACATTGGTGAGAAATATGCACAAAGAAGTATCTGCAAAGGATGCAATATGTCTAAGCATGTATAGTGCAGCTTTGGTCTTCAATTACCTCTGAGCAGTGAGAGGAATAAGTTAGAGTGTCAAGGGTGAAGCCCAAGAGTTTGAATGAATTTATACACTGGATAGGGTTAGTGTTTATATTTAGGTTGAAAATGAAGTTTTTGTACCCTGACCTAGAATGGGCAAGGAGTATGTGCTTGGTTTTTTTCTGCATTCAGCATTATTTTGTTAGTAGCAGTCCATGAGTCAGATTGGTCAGATCCTCCTAGAATCTCCTTCCAATGGTTTCTGAACAGGAGACTTTTACTGTCAGGAATGTTTCATGCAGCCTAAAAAATTGCTCATCCTTTTTTTTTAAAGATAAGCATGGTGTGCCTATTCTGTGTACCTGTCTGCAGATCATCCTCTACACCAAAGTTAAGCTGATTGAATTATAGATTGAATTATAGTGTCAACTGCCAAGTAGGTACATGTGTGCATAACTTCAAACAACTAATTTAAGCAAAGCTATGGAGGATTTGGAAATAGATGAAAGTTCGTACCTGTTGCCTTTTGGTGCACAAATAGGCCTACAATGTCATTATATTTTGCATTAGATACAATAAAACAATAACCTATAAATCAACAGAAAACCAGCCTACCATCAGATGATACCCATTTGTTGCCGATTGAAAATGCCGTCATGTACCTGTATCAAAGAACCTGTAAGGTTCTTTCTCCTGTGGAACTATTCATACATCACAAGCCTCCTGAATCACAGAAGCACTGATGCATCACCATCACTGCATTAACACCTTGGTTGATATCTGAAATATCACAAATATGAACTCTGAAACACATGTTCTGAATTCAAAAAATGTATTTGATTTTTTTAGAGCCCTTATGTATCTCATATTCCTTTAGTCTAACATCTAACCACCACTTATTGTGCACTTTTAGCTGAGGAACAGTGACTGAAACTTGCAACCATACCTCCAGAGTAGTTTCATGAGCCATCAAGTGTTTGACTTCCTAAATTCTTTGCATAAAAGGGAAGAACACAACTCAAACTGCATAACAGCTAGCAACAGCTGCAGAGTTAGTTAAATTTGAGTTAAACTTTGAAATCAAATTGTGTGCCCAAAAAGGTCAATACCATGCATCATGAATCTACTTGAGACCTTAAGCACCACAAACTAGGTAGCTCATGCATACCAAAGGAAGTGGAGAGGAGATGAGCCTATGGTTCATAACAAATATTTACAGCAATCCCAAGCAAGAATCAACATATTCAGAAACATAGAGGGGATTGGATGCTTGGGACTGTCTTGTATGATGTCTTGTGCTGAAAAACATTTTTCAAGCTTTTTTTATTACCTAGGCATGATGTATATATTTTTCTGCATGTCATCCTTCATAACAAAGCTGTTCAAAACAAATTTAAGCTGATTGGATTAACAGCTATTGAAAGAGGGTGACTCTTTGCTGTGGTTGTCAAGTTTAGCCTTACTATAAGGAAGAAAGGCTAAGACCATTCTTCCAACCTGATCTACCCTGAATGCCAATGTTTGCTGACTTTGGTTGATCAAGTATAAAACAAAGAAACATGAGTTGCCCATATCTCATGCAGGCAAGTCAGTTTTGGAGAGGACAACATCGCCCACATCAGAGACAGGCAAATCATGGAAATGGTTAATGGGTAATAATAGAAGATGCCCATGAAATTCCAGGTTCTTCCCTGACTGTCTGATTCAAAAGAGAGAGAAAGAGAAGGAAGCTTCTATTTGATACATCAAGTAGAAGCTTCCTTTTCTTTTCTTATGACTATAATCATCAGTATAATTTTGGCTTCCAAGTTAATACAAGCTAAATACTTAGAAATCTCAATGTATCCAGTCCACTTGCTCAGTACTCATTATGAGCCTAACTGGAGGACTATTAACATTAATATACAGCATGTTTCATTTGACTCTAACACTCATGTATGAGTGTCAAAGTTAAGCGAAAAAATGTATGACTCAAGTGAAAAACACTATAACTTCTAGACAATGTACTATTAAGTTATAGGGCTCAATGTTGGGCCAAGTCATTACCCAGGACTCCGAATCTAAGCCTGCATGATAAGCCTTCAGGTACCCTATCGCTTTGGTACATATCAATAGTTCCAGAACAGGAAAGTCTGTCAACTTCAGTCGTGATATTCCTATAGTAAGAAACAGTTTAAGCCTATATCCTTAGGTGAGACATTGTCGCTACCGGTCAACATAACATTCTTTGTTTCGTTAGAGATGAGGTTTAAGCACGTGGTTTAAGTATTTTACCAGTGTTTTCTTGATGACTTAACATGCCCTTTAAAAGCATTTTTTTAGGCCTACCTATGCCAGAGGGACTAGTTTTCCCTCGGTCTGACAGAACATGAACTGGTATTCGGTATGTCCCAAAGTCAAAACACCAGAGACGCCAGTGCCCTTATAGAGTTGTATGAACCCATCGCGAACTCATAGCAGAAGAGAAACAGCGGCGAGCAATACGCGCCTATCTGCACTTAAATGTTTATCGCATTCTCCGCTAGAGCAACCACGAAATCCACCAAAGCAGCGACTTTCAAATGATTCACTAATTTTTCTGCCAGTTTCATCTACATATTGTACCCCATGACTTGCTACTCCCAGCGGAGTAGTTGATGGTAGCTGACTCAACGTGATTTCATTCATTACATGCAAATTTCTCAAGGCCCAATTTTGTGAGTGAAACTGGTAGGCTGTCATCTGACTGCGCCAAAGTGCATATATTCGGTATGCAAAACTAAATTAAAAGGAACCCAAGGGAATCCATTCTCAGGCACATTCCCACAATCAGATTTAAGCATCCTTCCCATCGAAAATGTAAGATTAAATGATCCGATCTACAGAAGAAAACGCGAAACCTGGATGGAAATGTATAAACCAGTCCTGAATTCCTTCCTACTCCCCCCACTCCTTTCCCCTTTCCATTCATTCAGCTAGTGGTATCTTGAGATGATCTCCGCTTCAGCGTTCCTTTATGTCTTTTACTTTTCTATTTCTTTCTTTTTTTTCTTCTCGTGTTTTTCACTCCAAACTGGTATGTTATATCCTTTTCATTTTCTTTAACCCCTTTGGACTTGATATTTACTTTCTTACATTCTTACGAGATCTTACGAAGTAGGCTTTGCATCTCCGAGATGTCAGTTTCCCCTTTCAATTAAATTGACCGGTTGAGAGCATTCCCTGTAGTTCTTTTGGGCGATGGTTGACCCATTGCAATTGGACTGAGCTAGCAACTGCAGCGGATGCTGATTCCAAGAAAGAAATATATATATTTACAGGGACTATTCCGTCTCCAGTTAGATTCAAGGCACATCGAGGCTGGAATCTGGATCCTTCCATGGTCGCTGTCATTACCCGAAGTCTCCTGGGCTGGGCACAGCATGAGCAGATTCCTGTCTCCACGAGACAGGAATCTGCTCCCGTCTTCATTGTCTTCCAGTTCACCCACTCAAGGTAAGACTAGGGCGATGTGCTATATCGGTATTTTCATCAATCAGCGACTGAATCGGGAATCAAGGATTTTCCCGCTTCGACCAAAGCAAGGGGATGGGGGTGGGGGGATTTAAATAAATCGAAGGATTTATTGAAGGAAGGAAGGATCACTGTAGGGTGAAAGTGGGGAGAAGGGAGGGAGATGAGTCTAATTCCAGCGCTATTCGCAAGCAAAATTAAAAAGGGATTTGTGCCTGCAAACCTCAAGTCTGTGAATAACCTTGTTTTTAATGTACATCAGAGTTTCGAGAAGCCAAACGATTTCGCACGTCTGAGAAAATTAGGGAGCTCATCTATTACACGCGGTAGATGAATTTAAGAGAAGTATGGGAATTGCGATTGCTGCTGGCCGATCAAAGGGAATGATGAAAGGGACTCTCCCACAATGCTCCGTTTATGATGGCACGCGCCCACCCTGCCACATTTCCTCTCTTCCCGTTTGATATGCTTCCTGCAAAACCTAGTGAGTGTTACGGAAACCTATTAACCCATCCGCTGAGAGACGGGCTCAGTATGCCCTGCCTGACCGGCCCGTCTGCCAGACGGGATCTTGCACAGGTCTGTGCGAATGCACACCAAGTGCATTCACACAAAAAGGAATTCCCCAGATGACCACTGGATGTGATGGTTTGCGTGAGTGCGCATTGACGAAAATTTTTGCAAATTAAATGGTAAATTAAAGCCATGAAATGGTCGCGACGGAAAACAGTACCTTACGCACGTTTATGGACAAGACTGCACACTGAAGGATCCTATCCAGGCCCGACACGGTAAAATGCGTGGCCCCTGGTTCGGAAGGTTCCCCCAACCACCACTCATCTACCATCACGTTACGTGTAAAAAAGTGTTAATTTTTTTTTTCAAAGTTGGTTCACAGCAGTCATTGCACGGAGCAGATTAAAGCATACTAACACTGTATTTGTTTGTTTTTTTTTCATTATTGGTTACTTCCTACTTGGAATTCTACATGGAGAATTGCAAATGTCAGACTGCAGTGCATACGAAAGGCGTTCAAAAAGTTCTGTTGTTCGAACACTTCTTAACGAAATTCTCGAAATCAATTACGCTGCAGATAAAATATATCCCATGAGAGAATGATTGCATAAAATTGGCGCAGCCACGTCTTTTGAGCAATCATCTTTATTAAATTTATTTTTCCCATCCACAGGCGATTCTACCGAAATAGATGCTATCAAGGCAGGAACAGTCGTAACATTTAAAAAAAAATCAAAGGCAAGAATGCAACGGAGGCACATGCAGAGATGGTGAAGGTGTATGGCAAATAAGCGCCTTCGCTAGGAACGGTACAGCGCTGGGCTGCTGAATTCAAGCGGAACAGGAGCCTGGCGGGTGACCACGCAGAGGACGACCAGCGACGCGTTTCTAGTCGTCCTGCTCGCGAGCACCAACCAAGAACAAGTTGCCGCAGTTGAAGCAATTGTGCAGCGAGTGTTCATGCAGAGTGGTCCATACAGAGTCGACAGAGATAGGCTTTCTGGGTGACGCAGACTCGAAGATCAGTGTACACAATGGCTTCAACTGCGGCAACTTGTTCTTGGTTGGTGCTCGTCGCTGGTCGTCCGCTGTGTGGATCATCCGCCAGGCTCTTCCTGCTCCGCTTGAATTCATCAGCCTAGCGCTGTACCATACTAAGCGAAGGCGTTTCTGTGCCATACACTTTCACCATCTCTGCATTTGACTCCATTGCACTCTTGCCTTTGTTTAAAAAAAAAATTATGACTACTCTGGCCTCGATAGCAGCAATTTCGATAGAATTGCCAGTGGGTGGAAAAATAAATTTATTATAGATAATAGCTCAAAAGACGTGGCTGTGCCAACTTTATTTAACCATGCTCTCATGGAATATATTTCACCTGCAGCCAGGGCTGCCCAGAGGGGGAGGGGGGGGGGGGGCTATTGGGGCAATCTGCCCCGGGCCCCTCATATCAAGGGGTCCCAAGGAGGGCCTCAAAGGGCCACCAAGGGGTCTCCGGTTTAGTTTTGTCCCGGGCCCCTGGAAACCTCTGGGCGGTCCTGCCTGCAGCGTAATAGTTTTCGAGAATTCCGTTCAGAAACAGTCGAACGACAGAACTTTTTGAACGCCCCTCGTACGTTACGGTTTTGATGATTCAAGGGTAATGCTTTAAAAACCAAGTAGGACACTATAAGTTCATATGGGGAAACGAAGCAGCTTTCTTCTGGAACTTGTCAGGATCAACTAACCACTCATCCCCACCCTTGTGAAAGCCCATTAACTACCTTCCTTTCAACCATTACTAAATGTCACTCCTTCAATATACAAACCGCTTTGAAAAGTAATAGGCGAAGTACAGGAAAGACTTCATTCTGAGCCCAAAGACATCAACTTGTTCACCATAGGTATCACATGGAGTACCAAGTGTTAAGTTTCAAGGTAGGAGTGAAGAGGGGGGATGGGATGTCAAAATTTAATGATATTGTCTTTTCAAAGGTAGTCAATTCCTTTGAAGATAATCTCAAATGTTATTATAATCCATGTAAGGGATATGTGTGCCACTTTCAGGTTGACTTAGGAAGTTAAAAATAAAGAGAAAAAACGTAAACATATAACAGGATTTTGACACTGAAGAAGCATACTCACAAAATGCTGTTTGAACGAAGACCTGAAGCGCAGGTGTTCTGATAAAGGAGTCAGTTCCTTTTACAAATAGGAATTGTAGCCTTGATTCCAAAATATTTTTCTACATTGTGTACTTGTCATTCATCAACAGTAATATTTCACTTCATTCTTGTTGAAGAGGAGGGATAGCAGAATGAAAACTGGAAACTTAATATCAAGCGATATAAAACCCAGTAGCACAGTCAGAACGGCCTGTATTGCTTCAGTCAATTAATGCAACTCACTTGAAGTCAAAGGAAAGTATGTATCAGAATTGAGAAAAAAAAGTTGACTGGATTAAAAACAAGTGATTCGATTGATGCTGCTTTGTCAAATAGTACACAGAAATGAAGTTCAAATTGAAAAGAAACCATGAGATCTTTATTCCTTCCTGTTTTTTTAAATTTATTTTAATCCTCTATGGTCAGGAGGATCAATACAAGGTCAATACAAGTGGAGAAGGACAAGAAGTCACACTTCCTCTTGTGTACAAACATCAAACATCACTCCCATCAAAGTAACTCTCACTTCAAAAACAAAAACTTTGAGAAGCATTCAAGCGATATAGAAAAGAATACCGACCCTTGCTTCTCAAGGCTTCTCAACAGACTTGTGATTGATGCAACAGAAAGTGAAATATAAAATGGTCTTTTAAAGTTTAAAGTGGTTTTTTCTCTCAAAATTTCATTCAATCACAAACAACAAAACATCATTATATCTGTGAAGGAATAGTATTCAGTCCTTTCATGGCTATGTACAGATCACGATCACCAAAACCAACATGGAGCACAACTGATATTGTGCCCCATGTTAGTTTAGGAAAAACTGGACCATGAAAGGGTTAATACTAACACCATAGACAGATTTGTTACATGGTTTGTAAGGGTGCATGAGATGCCTTTTGGGTACCAATTTCCTGAAGATAAATTTAAAGACAATATGTGAATCATGCAAAATACCTTCAGAAGAATCATCAAAAATAAATTGAAGCAACAGAAAAAGGAAAGTTAGACATAAATGGATGATAAATTATATACCCTATATAAGGGTGAGTTAAATCTCCTGCTCATCTTTTCAAAATAACTTTTGAATGCTGTATCAAATTGAGACTCAGTTTAGGCCACTCAAAAAAGGAAAATTCTCAATCCAGGGATATACCTTTTTTTTCTGAGCCTTAAAATTAAGTTGGGTTTTTCAGGGGTTTTATAAACATTTTCACTCCTGAAAATATGCCTGCTTGATGAGTGATATTCTTTTAATTCCAATAAACTTGAAGAAAATGACTCAGAAGTGTCAGACTATTAGCAGATGTATAGCAATTGTTCAGCTTCATTCTGAATTTGACCAGAACAGAATGGGAACTATTCATCAGCTCAGGAAAAAATTAAAAGAAAACTGTCAGCTGCAAGTCAATCACTCAAATCAACTTGAACATTGACATGAAAGGAACAGTAGCAGGTCCCTGCTCTACACAGAAAGTTTTCTCCATCAAAATTTTATATTCTGAATGAAACTTCCATTGGTTGATGGGAAGATATATCATTCCCTCAGTCATCAGTCAAACAAATTCTGCACAAGTATTTCAAGCTTGTAACTTCGACGCATCATTTTTTTCTTGAAATTAAGTAAAACTCCAAACAGAGAATTTTATTTACTTTCCTATGATCTTAGTTCATGGCTTAAATTTGTTTGGTCTACTGGTCAAAAGGTGGGCAAGGCTACTGACTCACCCTGTAAAACAAAGTTCACATTTTTATTTTTAGTCAAATATGACTAGTTGAATTGCCCTTGGACTTTGGAAGAGTGCTGAAAGTCACTCAATTAACAAGGTTGTTCAAGCAATTTAAACTACTGCACCCTAACAAGATCACTCCTTTGCAACACTAGAGAGTACCTACAATTGAACACCAGATATTGCATCTACAAGCAGAAATCTAGTATCTTGAGTCTTATTTGATTTGTTCTATTTGCTTCATTTGAAATTCCAGATATAATCTGGGACCTCATATAGATACTTTTTTCCCAGTATCTTGGTTATGAAAATATTAAGATACAGTAATGAGATATACTTCATGTATATCATTCCATCATCAATTTTAGTTCATATGATTGCTCTGTACCAATATTCTTGTCAGTCTTACGATAATGATCATAGAAACTCTGCTTCTTGAAGTCTGCCATTGAGTCAGTGACCAGCAAGTCATGGTAGGGTACAATCATATCCCAAATAGATGTTTAAGCATGCACTCATATGCTAATTCACAAAGTCAGCAACAAAAAGTATCTGAACCAGATATTTCATTTTATAACATCCATTTTTAGATACATTCTTGATTCTGTTTCAAGTAATTCATAATAAATGACTAGAGGAAGAAGAAAGTAAAAAATCCACTTTGAACTTGATAAAGTCATCTTCTATGGCACTCACATGTCTGCCTCACAGCAGCTGTGAAGGAAATGTTACAGCCCAATGCAATCAACTGGGGTGTTCACAAAACAAAAAAGGGCAACTGCTTGAAAGTTATACCAAGATGCTTCAAGTTTGCTGTAAAAATAAAAAAAAAACATGAAATTTGTTGTTGCCCACACCTTCATAAACAGCAAGATCATGATTATGCAATTGTCTTATTCCCATTCTTTGTATTTTCCTCAAATGTGTTTTCACAATTAGTCAGCTCAAGGTGATAAATGAGAACTTCAGTTGCTTGAGGGGTTTTCACCTTCACAACAATCACAGCACGGCATATATATAGTTCAAAGTTGCACTCATAGATACTTCCCTTAAGAGCCATGTCTATAGGAATGATCCTCAGGAGCTGACCAGTTCTGTTGTCATAAAGATGTATGCTGGCAATGTGCGAAATATTGCCAGTTTCATCATTCTCAAATGCAGTGAGGATCCCTAAAATATCCATGTCCATATTATAGGCATAGGTAAGATCAAAAGCATCACTGTCATCCCAAAACTCATGAGATTGTTGGGCTTTTCTGAGTCTTCGTGACCTGTTGGTTTTTCTTGCAGGTGTACAATCTTCATCAGCTTTCAGATGTTCCTTAGCAATGAACTTGAACACTTCACCAACAGAACATTTTCCATCTTGCTCTGATAGCTGCAAAATGCTACAAAGAGATAGAATGCCATAGATATGAAAACAGGGTGGACAGGGTAGGTCCTTCAGCTTATAATGTATGTCATCATTATCTGATTGTCCAGAAAAGGCAAAGTATTGAGGATTGTTATGAATATGGTATATTTATAGATTTAGCTGATAGCAAAATAGTCACAAAATTTCTCTCAAGAGAACATGTAGTAAATTAAACAAGGCAGGGATGGGGAGCTTCATTACCTGATTCGAGAGGAAGACTGACGCAGAATTCGATTTGAACCATCAGGATGAAAGATGACATGATCAGGCTCCACATCAAAAACATCTCCAGAGAATGAGCCAACTTGACTGCTATCTACCAACCTAGTAACCTGTAAGAATCCAGACTCTTCATTAGAACAAAGGAGACTGCCCAATAGTGACCACCAGTCTATAATGAGAATAATTCATGGAGAGATTAAGAGCATTTAAAAATACTGATCCAAACTGCTGATATAAAAAATATGTTGATACATGTACCACCTGAATAATCTGCCAATAAAATCCAATCCCAAGAAAACAAACAGTGCTTTCCCAAAATTTAATGGATATAGCCCTATTATCCTATTATTATCCCATTCTCTCCTCAAAATTTGGAGTTGCAAACAAAGTGGGTTCTATCTATTTGGAAAGCTCTACTTGTCTCCTATGATTCTGTAAGAAATTCATGACAACTCTTGCAGGAGTTTCAACAGGATGATCATGGAACGTGTAAGGGTCCATCCCACCTACAACTTCTCCACTGCTTAGGATAATTCTTTGGAATTGTGTATTAATTCAGTTCATATTACACTACTTGTAGACTAATTTTCCCTATGATTCAATAGGATGAGATGAGTGCATGTGAAGGAGGGGGAAATGATACTCCAAGCAGCTCAGCAAACTCAATCCTCCCTGTTCCCCAATTTCACATGCTTCATGTCCCTTGTCCCCAAATGTATTTCAAGACTGAGTCATACCCTAAGACAAATGTAAATAGCCTCAAGGGAAGGGGATAGATTAATGTTGTGGAAAATGGAAATGTGTGAATCCACAAGGTCAATGACCTCCATGAGAAGGAGAATTCCTGTCAACTGTACAATTCTGCTGAGATGGGTGGGGAGGTGTGACACCCTATGATGTATAGAGATGTGGTGTGTTGCCCACTTAAATAGCAGGAAAGGTAACTCTCAGCAATGTGAGCATACTTACATGAATTTTGTTCAAGAGACAATTTTTGTGCTTATGGATAAGAAGGGTTTTCTTTGAATTGAAAGATACATTCCATTGGGACATCCACTTCAATATGGATGGCAGGTTGCTTGGAAATGAGATCACCTGCTCTTTTGGGAAATGCAGAACCCAGATAGCAAGGAGGGTGTTGTCATCAGTGAACAGGTGTCCCCTTGTTCTCCAACATGGAACTAATTTCACTGATAAGGAACAGGAAGAGAGATGGTCCAGAATACTGCCTTGATAACTGCCATTGTGAAACACAGGTGCAACTATCCAGAACAGTGCTTGCAGACAGAAAACTTTCATGAGGCAAAATTGGGACCACATATAATATAGCCCTGAAGTTTGTGCAGGAGACCTTTGCTACACACTGTAAAAAGTATGAGGATGTCAAATAACTCATCAAAAAATGACCAACAAGATCAGGGATGCCCAAACATTTTGGTCATTTGAACAATTAAATAAAAATTATTGTGCAATTATTGGGCCAAGGCCAGTGCCATGAGAGGAGGGGGAGGGAATGCTGAGCAAAGGAGCAAGAGGGTTAACATTGTGAGTATGTCAACCTTCCTGATTCACACTAGTGGCACTGTGTGCATCACTGCCAGCACCTTGGGTGGAGTTCAAATCCCCTGAATTCAACACTTTCACTGCCATTCACACCAAATGGCATTTTTGGCACAATGAACCTTCACTGCCATGCTTGGTAAGGAGTGGTTGGCAGGGTATTTAAATCCTCAGCAGTCAAAGGGTTAAGTTGTGCCACTGTCTTTCTCTTTACTATATTTCTTTTCTTTTTCTTTTACTGAAATTGCCTAATAGGGTGTACAGAAATCAGTGAATTGCTTGCAACCCACAGGCTACCCCTTGGGGATCCCTGCAATAGATGGTTCAGAAAATACTTCTTCAGTAGATTGTATAAAGATTTTACAAGGGATGTTCAATCTTTTTTGTAGGGATAGGAGTGATATTCTTTGCAGAAGATTGAATCAATACGTAGGTACTTGCAAGCAAACCTTTTTGAGGTGTATCTTAAAATGCAAACAGTCCATCATTGTTGCATAAAGTCTTGTAGTCAAAATTGCACCTATGGAGAGTAAGAACTCCCTCTTTTCACTTAATTGGTGAAACTCATTGATGTGAGATACTAGTAGGTTGCTCAAATGAGAACAATTGTGGCCCCAGTCTGCAGACAGTTGCATGTCAAGATGTGAAATAGATTCCTGATACATTGAGAGTCAACACTGGCCTCATGGGCCACTACTATTATTCTATGGCATAGAAATGGAGTTGGGGAGGAGGAAAGACCAAATGAAATTTTGATTATTGCTGGAATGGTGGATTCCACATGAAAAGCAAAGGTTGCATCCAGGACTCCCCCTTATAGATGCTCTATGGGTTGACTATACAGGGAGTTCGTATTTAAATGCAACATACCGAAAATTTTGTCGCCTATTTGTGGAGTTGAATGAGTGCCTTATAGTTCAACAAGTTGCATATCTCTAAGGATAAAAACAATCACTGGTGTGTTTCCTTGTAGGTATGCAACCTTGTGGGCCTTGTAGCATTAACTTAACTCCACATACATGCAGCAAAATATTTTCTATGCTGCATTTGAATACAAACACCCTACATATAGGCTCATTTTTGCTCTATATGAGGTCAGATCCAGTTTAAAAGGGAAAATACTCTGATGAATAATGCCCAGGCAACAAATTAACAATTATCTCCTAATAGTGCAGGGAAAAAACAGGATGTCAGTCAGCTGCACAAAGACATAACTCAAATGCTTTATAACTGTATTTTTGTATTCTTGAAAAATTTTTTTTGAGGTGGACAGGACAGTGTTTTTCAGGTGAAAAATGAGCTACTTTTGGCCATAAACTGAGGAAAAATGTTTTATTTGTATATGTAATTTTTACCACAAGGAACTACAGAGAAGATGGATAGTACAATTGTTTCACACCATCCTCTAAAGCAAGGGTCTCAAACTCATTTTGGTGTGCGGGCCACATTGTCAAGATCAGACTTCTCTGCGGGCCAAAGTGAGAAAAGTCTGAAGGTTTTCTCTGATTATGTATAATGGGCCTGAAACGTTTCTCTCTCGGTGTATGCAGGTGGGCTGCAGGCTGTATTAGGAGCATTTGCAGGTCGCATGTGGCCTGGGGGCCATGAATTTCACACCTCAGCTCTAAAGGCTCAATCTCTACTCATAACAGCCCTTGAGCAATGGCAGGCTTGAGATAATCATGCTTTCTAAATGAACTCTGCAAATCTCTTACCTGATACATCTCTGCTTCATGGAATGTTTTCCGTGATTTACGTGTGATGCAGTGGAAGGGAGATCCATCAATGTCAAATGAATGTTGAAATGACTCAAACTGCAGCAGGCAAGGAGGGCATGTGTCTACCTGACACGTGACAGGAAGTCCTCTGTCTCCAACGCTGCAAAATGAATAATGAAAACAAAATTGATACTAAAAAACATAAGACATGCAAAGCAAGATGCAAGCTGGGCAAGCCAAGAATAAGACTCCTCCCAGAAAAGCAATGAAAAAGAATATGCAATAAAATGATCATGACATATACTGTGTGTGAAGCAGTTCAAGGTCATTCACATCAGAAACTAATGTCCATGACTTCTGCTGCTTCAGACGAAATGGAAGGATCACAATATCATTGGAACAGAAGATGTTATGAAGTGTCCGAGGCCTATAGGTTTGGCACTGTGCTAGCAGATCTCTGCTTGACATTGGCCTTCTCAGAGTTCCTCAAAGGATATGTAGGCCAAGTAAAATGAGCAAAACCAGTCTTAAAATAAGGGGGAAATTATTACATGTCCATATAATATAGAGTAAATCATGGTGGTTAATGAGTGCAAGACCATAGGGTAGAATCACCAAATCTGCCAAAGAGAGAAAAATTTTAATTGACATTGAAACCAGTCAGAGAGAATAGTATCTCAAGGTCACCATAAGCCATGGCCAGTTTTTACATGAAAGCAATTCAGCAAAGACGTATACAAGGCATGGGGGGCAATCATAGGGGATACACTACCCAGCTAAAAGGTTGGCTAAAGAAAGTTTGGAATATCTTCATCACTCCACAGCACTGGTCCTCAAGAGTTTTCAAAACTGAATAGCACCTCTGTATAGAACTTTCATTTAGCTTTCAATGATGTCAAAAAGAACAAAGATTCAGGACATCACTTTCATGCAGTTAATTAATAAGTATAAAAGGTGGTGCTGGAAAAGTGAACAAGCCAATCCTGGTAAGATTGCAAATGTGCAAATGAAGGAATGGATGTCACCTGGAGCACATCTTATAGGGTACCCCTAAGTGCACTTCTCAAGAGCTACTAATCACTTGCTACTGTGTTTAACTGCATTTGAATGACAGAATGGATCTTAACGTTTTTTTTTACATCAGCAGAAAGCTGAATAAATGTTTTATACAGAGAAGCTATTGCAATATTTTCAAACTCTCAAGAAACTACAAAGAAAAGTGCTAAAAATAGCCCAATATTTATTTGCTCACCCTATATTCATTGAATTGACAATGGAGCTAAGACTTTCACATCAATGATGAACTTGACCTACATGTTGCTTACACTCAACAAAATCCTTTTTCTGGCTCACCTCATATGGGTGCACTATTTATAAAACAGATTGAAAACTGATAACTGACAGGAATCAACTCAGTCATGAGTGACTTAAAAATTAAAGTAAACAAATTCAAAATAATAAATTGTTTGACTACCCATATGAAACAAGAATGACCATATAAGAAATAGAGATCTAGGAACATGAGACTGACCCTTGCTGCAGATAATAATGGTGTGGATATTCTGTGCAAACTGGTTCATTTTGCTGCAAAATGTGGGCCAAGCTGTAGACCTTGATAATATTGCCAGAATGAGATATGGCAAGGCACTCTCGCCAGCAGTCTGCATCAACAACATTCTTCCCGAACACAGACTTCTTCACCTGAACATAAATGATGAAAAAGAGTGATTACCAGAGATAGCAAGAGGGCAACAAATGACAAGACTGGAAATACTGACACCAATTTGATGCAATAATGAGAAGAAAGTTACTATGCTCTAGTAGTAACACTAGTTACTATGCTCCTTTCCACTGCTTCATCTCTAAACATGCTTGAAAAGTGAGGTGCAAATAAAAATTGGCCATTTGGGAATGATGGACAAAAGTCAGACTTGAAATGCATGAGCCCTGGTAGGGGGCAATCAGACATACCAAACTTGAATTAGGGTATCATTGATTATTAGCCTGACTCAAACCAATCAGAGAAAAAAGTCACCATGCTTCAAGCTTCATTTAGAGATAAGGTGGTACTTTCCAAATTCTGATAGGGTTTTGAATATATTGCCTGGTAAAACTATAGTGAGTACTGCTTATTGTGATCACCTTGTTACAAGGGCACTTGATGATAAAAGCAGCAGCAACAATCACAGGTGATCGATGAACACATGAAATTCAGTACTTTTATATGAAAGAAATTCAAAATTCAGTGCTTTAATAAATGTTGTTTCAAGCTCTCTTGTCCAATATGGGAGGAAGAGCCTTTCACAACCATATGGAGAGATTCTCCACCTGTTTCATCTCTTCCATGCAATTTGGTAACTGTTGATATATAGTGTTTGAACTATACTTGATTGTTGTGTTGATCAATGTTGTCAGATATTGTATCTGACAATGTTGATGACACATGTAGGAGGAAAATATATGCAAAATAAGAGTGGAAATAAGGTATAGGTTTTCAAGATTTTATCACATTATCTAGTTGATACCCACCAGTGATCACAGTAAATGGGGTCTACTGTATAAATATTAGTATTGGTATTAAGCATTAATTTCTCTGATTCTACTATCACATATTATCTACACTATATTTCTGAATGTTTGTGTGTCTGTCTATACCCTTTATGCACAACCACGCCTCTGATCCTAGTCTGACAAAACTTTCTATGGCTTCCTCATTTGATCAACATTCACTACTACAGACCACCCAAAGGAGTCAAAATTTTGGGGGGTCAGTACAAAGTTGTAGAGGGTCCCCACATTACTAAATAAAATTTCTGTTCCTCCTAACAGCATAAGTTTGTTTGCCTGGAGGGAAAATAAACTTCCCAAGTTCACTATAAAAAGCAGCAATAGCATCTGCAGACAATAGACTGCTGCTGGATTAAATAAAAGAATTTCATGAATTCATACCTCAAACAAGGCTTTGAACTGAAGGGGCCTGAGGTCAAAAATGGCAAATGACAGTAGGGAATCCTGAGATGCAGTGGATGTCCTTGTTGATTTCAAGTACAATGTCCCAGATTCATCATCCATATTGAGTTGATGAAATTTGTACTCTTGAGAAAGGAAGACACGGTTGATCACAGCTCCATCACTAATGTCCCGCTCACGAAGATAATTATCACTGCTCAAGGTTAGCAGAGTTGGCTTCACAGCTGGTTCAATATAACACAAAGGTCTGAATAAGAATCCTCTTCAGTTGATAATTTAGTAAGTCAAAAATCAAAATATAAGAGAAAAATATCAACACAAGGAAATTATGTCAATCATCAAGACTGACAAATCAAACATCAACAAAGAGAGAAATGTATGCATAGGGCAACTGGATATTTCAGCCAGTTTCAAGTCTGACTTGACTCTTTGGACCATAATCTTGAGGAGATTAGTGATTAGTGAGATGAGAAGTGGTCAATTTTCAACCATTTTGACAAATAGGTGTTCTTTTCTGTTTTCTATTCCAGAAGCAGACACATTTAGATGTACTATTTTTTGTATGATGAAGAGGAATCAACTTTCCTTTTTCATGTCTCTTCAGTAGCACCTCCCAATTGGCATTATAAGTATGAACCACATCTCTTTCTCTTCTAAGCCTTTTTGTTGTGTTCCAAAAGAATTTTTGGCATGGATGAGTGGAACACTTGGGAATTATAGGCTGATTTGAGAATAAGGCTTTGATATGAAAGTCATTTGTTCAAGTCTCATTACTCCTCTATACCTAACAGCAAGATGGGAATCACACATGAAACACAAAAAACTGGTGTATATACCTCCTTCTCCAGGTGGAATACCTCCTGCAGGAAAATCTATGAGAATTCTGTCTAGGCATCTTTTCTCTGAGAAGGCACATAATTGCTTCAGCAATCCACCACTCAGCACTTCCAAACTGTAGAAACCCCCTGCAAAAAAAAGAAGAAAAAGATTAAAAACCTTAGGGTCATCAGAGAACTAACAAAGTTCCTGAGCTTGTAAAATTCAGCTATGTGTATGTGACAATTTTTCTTATACTTCTTTTCATCTCAAAGGAAGAGCTTAATATAGCATTCCATGAAACAGAATGGTATGCTGCAAGGTTTCTTTTAGGCTTCAACCCTTTTAGTAACAGGAACCATACTATTAAACAAGTCTTGATCAATCACAGCTTCCACACCATGAAAAAATGGCCCTTAGTAAAGAACCAAGAGGCATATTCCTACCAATTACCAATAATTTGATCCAAATTTACAGATAGTTTTTGCTTTCTAACCTTAGCTCAAGTGGCATTTCTTAGAAGATGACGATTGTGCAGTGTCATGTCAAACAGTCATGTTCCATTCATACTGCAAAATTACAATCACCAAGATCACAATGAATTCATGATCATGATGAGCAATACATCATCCACTCGGACTAACATTCCCTCGAGCAGGCCTAAATGAAGCAACTGAGATTTAGTGCCCTCATGTATCATTGAGGATGAGATGGTGACACGAAAAATACCCAGGTAATCACGATCGGAAATCTAAAGTTTTAGAAGACAGAAGTTAGCCAAATGCACTCACATTCCTTATCGGAGGAAGTTGTAGTCCGGTTGTTGCTGCTGGTTCTTCCTCTTGCAACAGAAGTCGGCATTAGCAACAGTCCATCCTCGATGGAAATGTTTGATGCTGATTTCAGTCGCTTCCTTAAAACATAGCTACAATCAGGCATGGATGAGATCAAAATTTTGAACATAGCATTATCGTGCCGTCTCCGATTTCGACGGCCCAGTCCGATTTCCCGCTCACGCAATTTCTGGAAGAAATTATCCCTGCCCATGGAATGCGAACCTTTCAAGCCACGTGCCCTGGAGGACGCCATATTGAACTCTCATTAAAACTCATTATTACAAACAGTAGTCCCTCGCTTTACACAGCTTCTTTTTCCACGGATTCGCACTTGCACGTTTTTTTTTATACTAAAAATTCGATAAACTCAAACCGTGAATCTGCGAACCACACTCCATGCTTTCCAAATTATTGGATATTTAAAAAAAAATACCGTGCAAAAAAAATACCTCGCACGCGCAAGCGACGGTGGCCAAATGCAACAGGATTCAAGGTTACATTCGTCGTTCGGTTGCAAGTAGGACTTCGCGCACTATTCTTCCGTTGTATGCGGCGCTGATAAGACCCCATGATGTCAGTGGTAGCGGGTGATTCGGACCCAGGCGGTCTCGATCTCTCTGTTTCACGGCCTTAGTCAGGGCCGTTTCTAGGCGTGTTGGCGCCCAGGGCAAGAAGTTCCAATGGCGCCCCCCCTCCCCCCCTTTACCCCTCTGGCGCCCCCCTCCCTCCCCCTTTACCCCGCTGGCGCCCCAGGGGATCGCCCGCTTCGCCCGCCCCTAGAAACGGCCCTGGTAATCAAAATGTCATTTTTTCCATGTCGTCACAACATTTTCCTCTATGTTACGACAACTTATCCCTTCTGGCGTAACAACATTGTGACGACACTAAATGAGAAGAGATTATTGTGGCAATATGGTTTGTATTAAAGAATACTCTCAAATACCCTTCCATTAAAACTTGCAACTGCCTGTCGTGCGAATGCTGGCAAGTGTGCGGCAGCATGACGAGGATTTACTTGATGAGAGCTTAAAGGAATAAATAAATACCTAATAGATTTTTCCACTTTTCACGGAGAAAGTAAATGGCACTCCTCTAGTCAAGTGCACGCTCCTTTACATTTTCGCAACGTACAAACACCATGGAGTGAATTAGGAAATTTTGCCACATTCCCATCGACCCGAATGCAGGAAGTACCAGGGGTCTCCTGCTGTGTAACTCACTTAAACGGATCTTTCCAGGAATTCCAACCCTTTTTCCTGATGTTTACATGGGAAAAGACCAGGAACCGAAATCAAAATATAGAGAACTCATTTCCATTTTATAAAAGGGAGATTTGCTATAGCGGCGCTGAGATGCCATCTGGCGGCGATTGGATGAACCTATTAGATAGTGAGGGTATTCTTTCGCAAACATTGCCAAAACGTTAACGTCAAGAAGAATTTGTTGTCATTACGTTATAGGAAAATGTTGTGACAGCATCGTATAAAGGGACATTCAAATGTAACAATGTTTTATATGATAAAGCCACAACATTCCAATTTCATTCCAATTCCAATTTTATAAGCATGGTTTTTTTCTGCGGCATTTAGGTTATTTGTCTAATGTTGTGGCGAAGATATCGTAATAACATTGTCAAAACATCAGAGTGACAACATAATACATCCACACAACATTATTGCTTTTATACAACGTTTGTCACAACGTCAGTGTGTTACCTGGGTTATCCCAAGTAAATGCGGTACCGGTTCGAGCATGCTCATGAGCCAGTGGCGCAACAAAAGGGTGGGGAGGGTTCCGAACCTGAGCATCCCCCCCCCCCCCCCCCCCCCCCCCCCCCCCCCTACAAAAGGGGGGGGGGGGTTCCGAACCTGGGCATCCCCCCCCCCCCCCCCGGCCCAAACCACGATAGTATTTCTCTGCTCCTCCATCCCCCTCTCCCCCGAGGGTGGGGGACGCAGAAAGATATTTGGATATTTGGTGAATTGCATAAAACTGACTTTAGCTAAAGTCAGTTTTATGCAATCCATCCATTATCATGAACAACCTGAAAGCGAGATTGGAAAGGTAAAAAAATAAGGAGAAAGGTGAAACGTGGAGGTAGCGCCAATCACATGTGGCTACTCACTGTAGTAAAATGAACATGTCAAGAAAGTACAATATCCTGTACATGTGACGCTGCTGATTTTTTTTATAAAAACGGAAGGACGACGATTCAGATAAAAGGCGTGAATCAAGAATTTCTAGTTGCATATATACACAATGAAATTTGAACTGAATCCCGAAATGAATTTAGTCCGTGTGAAGCTTTTTTCAGGTATCGAATGTGCTTTCATCATTAAGAGTTAACATTCCATTTCCACCATTTTAACAAAATTTTGTTTCATTTGTTTTCTTTGTTCGCGTGTTCGACGTTCTTGCTGAGTATATCTCTACTGATGATTTGATAACGGCTTCTTGCATTCGGAGACATTTGTAAGACAGGTCACGAGAGCTTCCCAAACCTACCCCCCCCCCCCTTCCTCCCTCCCCTCAAACATCCAAACTTTACGGCTTTTTGCACCTCTGCCTGGAGCGTCCTCCAATGACCTCTCGAACCTGGGCAACCGACTCAAGCTCAGGTGGTGGAACGCCGAGCCTTTCGTGACAGCCGAGCCTTTCGTGACAGCCGAGCGACGTAATCGCTCCACCTTGTACGAGACAGGTCTTTTGCCAGTCGTCTTGGCCTGGAAGTCTGCGTCTGGTCCTTCGAGAGGGAGGAGAAGCCTTAGTTGGCCTAGTCAAGTACTTCCTGCTCACATTATCGCGGGGGTGTCAAACTGGCCAGTCCATTTTGTCCGACCCGCGAAGTCCTTTTCAACAGTTCGGTACGGAAAAGTACAGCAAACTTCAGCCTGTTTGCATGAAAGATTTCGTGTTGGATTTGTATTGTGGCCCCTAATCACCCAGGAAGGCTTCCATCCGGCCCCCAGCCTAATCGAGTTTGACACCCCAAGTAACACAGCATGTTGATGAAACGTTTCTGAAATGTTGCTCTCTGTTGCAAGTTGCTGTACAACATTGAGAAAACATTGCTTCAATGTTTTCACTTGGAATGTTGCTGCGACACTTCTACGAATGTCATTGCAACATTTGCTATCAACATTGAGAGAATGTTGACACTCTTGACATCGACAACGTAGCGACAACATTCTGATACAACATGGAAGTTTCAGGGAATCGTAAAGTCGTCCTCCTTGCCACGAGATGGAGACGTAGGTCTTGCTTTTCTCACAGTGCACAAAAGTGCCCTTCTTCCTTTCCCTGGAATCGTCCCGCACGGGAATGTTTAGTACCTTGCCAAATGTCTCACATTGTCTCATTATAGGAGTCGATGAACACGGACACATCATCACTTGTTATCTTCATTTTCCAGACAGATTAATGGGGTCAAGATAAAAAAAAGCTCATATTCCCAAAAAGAACCCTTTCCAAGAACTCGTCGAATTCACGTTAACGTAATCCGCACCAAGTCGATCAGAAAGCTTAACTGCTTGAAGATTTTGGCCGGGGTTAACAAATGTGAGCCTCACGTAATTTTGAAGTTATATGTAACGTACCTCCGCCCGGTCTTAACGTACGCGTTCGCTGCTTGGGCAAACTGCCCAGAGACAGTCCTCGACCGACTNCGGGAGAGATCCAGGCGTGGTGGCGAGCGTGCCTGCACACTCGTCCTCACGCCTGAGTCATGGGTCACCTTCCCATGGCGTTCACAACAGCTTCTCCAGGGTATTGCACTCTGCCAGCCCTGGTGTTGGGAGGATCTCACCATGGTGGGCGGGAGTCATGTGGCGGTCCACCACTGACAGCGGGGCCCACCATACCATTAGCTCCTTTTATTATTAAAAAAAAAGTCGAATTCATCCTACAGGACAATAAAAACGACAGTCTGCGATCTCAATACTTCATATCCTCATTCTGGGTACTAGCTGAGGAAACGAAAGATTGATCTCATGGACACTCCATAGAACGTTGCGGTCGGACCTTTTTCTGTATTGTGCAATTTAGCACATCCAGGGGAAGATCACCTCCAAAAATGTACTATCTCCTGCCTGTGCATGATACAAACACTGTATTGTGCATGGGTAGAGGGTAAAACCAGTACAGGCTTCGTCCTGTCGATGAGAATGTCTGAGTAGAGAGGTAAAGTATATGGTACGAAAGGATGAGTCGAATATCGGTCCAGTTCAGGACCAGTGAAGCCTACGCTTTTCCGTAATGCCAATATAGGCCCAGATTAGGTGCCCGTGAAGCAACGTTTTTAATCAACATTGCAGCAGCATAAATCCTGAAACGTATCTGCAACGTATATGTAATGAATAAGTAGCAATTTGCAACGTAAATGCAATGTTCCTTCGCAACATTTGAGCAACGTTGAGGTTTTGGACATTTACACATAGATGCAACATTGTTCATCAACATTTCCTAAACGTTGCTGGAATATCTCGTGTTACTTGGGACACTCTAGTGTGCTTGGTTTAGTGTCTAAAAGAACGCCCTGGTTCAAATTCTGGGGCTCGATTCTTATGGATATCTGAAGGAATAATTAATGAAAAGCAGAGTTTCCGAGTGTGCAAAACAATATCCCTATGAACTTGTCAATTACGCGTTACGTATAAGCGGTGGGGTATGTACAGGGTGGCCCAAAAGTCAGGAACCGTAGAGATTTCACGTTTCTACAGTAAATGCTCGGACTGTGCACCGTCAACCTGTAAACACTTTTTGATTCGCTTTGCACCGGATGCTTGAACATTTCTTAGGTTGACAGTGATCTTGGCACACTCAGATATTATCCTCTCCTTGAATTCCTCTATGTTTCGGGACGTTCAGCTTAGATGACCGCTTAAGATGCCCGTGGCAGAAAGAGGTCAAGAGGCATGAGGTCCGGTGACCTAGGTGGCCATTCGACAGAACCTCGCTGTCCAATCCACTTGTTTGGGAATTACTTATTTACAATTAATACAGTACATCAGTGAAATCCCTATGAATCCTGACTTTTGGGCCACCCACTGGGATAGCCTTTTACAGTTTAGAACGCCAGGTGAGATCCTGGA